CGCTAACTGCTATTCTAGCCAGCTACTGTCTCGTGACTGCTACTGTAACCAGCTACGATACCATAATCGTAAGCAGAAGATGGCCAGAAGATAGCCAGAAGATGACCAATGATCAAGACAAGGGTTTGATCAAGCTCCTTACCTGTCCTGGCTTTAGATTAGTCTTATAACTTAACTTAACATACCGTAAATACTGTAATAGTACCCCACTCCCCTCGTATAGTCGCGTAGTCGCAAAAGTTTTTTAGTATTTCAAAGCGCCCGTACTTTCAAAAAATGCGTCTTTGGTATCAAAAAATAGCCCTGAATTTCAGCTATTTTTTGATACCTAAGCGAGCATTGTAGCATAAACCAGTGTCGAGAAAAACTCGTCCAAAGCTAGACTACGAAACACTCCGCACCGTCATTATGGGGGTGAGGTACTATTACAGTATTTACGGTTCTAGCCAGCTACTGTATCGTGCCTGCTACTGTAACCAGCCACCATACCATAATCGTAACCAGAAGATGGCCAGAAGATGACCAATGATCAAGACAAGGGCTTGATCAAGCTCCTTACTTGTCCTGGCTTTAGATTAGCTTTATAACTTAACTTAACCTATCTATCCTAGCCTGGCCAGCATCAGATTGCAAATAAAAAGTTATGTTTATATAGTTTTTATATGATAATTCAAAATTTCAAACCAATTGAATGATCAACAAGATCTTGTACTTCTTTGTAGCCAGCGATTTGTAATGAATCACCAAATGCAAAGCAATTACAAATAAAAACGCTGTTACCACACAAAGCACTGTATAGAAGATGCCCAATACTTGGAGAAAAGTGTCACTAGGGAGAAACATTGCGAAAATATTCAGCTAACTGGAAAAATTGAAAATTTTGTCCGTCTACTTTCTGAAATCATCATGACAGGTGCTTTCTATGCGATAAATAAACATTTTTCGAGTTTCTGAGAAAATTGAATGTACAGGGTGCGGCAAAAGTATGGTTACATATAAAAAAGTTGTGCGAATACGCTTCTCAGAACGTCCGATGCGACGAGCAATGTCCCTGTTTGAGTGACCAAGCGTTTGAGTGCCCAAGCGTGTGGAGCACATCGATACGCATTTTTTCCACCACATCCAGTTGTTTTCCAAGTGGCATATCTGAAAATGTAAAAAAATTTATAAACATAACTAATAAGCAAAAAAAAAAAATGAGAAAAACTAACAATTATCGATAGAATAAATCGTCAAATTTAAGATGCGTCTATAATCTTTTTGGACAGCTGATAAAACGTTTTTTGTACGATAAAGTAGAGTTCGGCAAACAAAACCAAAACCAAAACCAAAACACCAAAACAAACCAAAACCAAAACACCTAAGCCTAAACCAAAACTCAATTTGCATATAAATTAACATGTAAATTTAAAATTGTAAAATGCAAATTTTAATGTTTTAATTTAATGTTTTAATTTAATGTTTTAATTTTAAATTGTAAAATGCAAATTTGCCTTTCACGTTTTCTCACTCCCCAAAATTTCGCGGCCGAAAAAAGGACCAAAACATGACCTCGAAATTTCGAAACAAAAAATAGCCTATGGGATAGATTTTTGGACGCTGATTTCAAATCTGCAAATCAGATTTTCGCTAGCTCCTCCCAATCGCGAGATATTGGCGAGTTTTGGTTAGTTTTGGTTTTGGTCCGTTTTGGTTTTGGTGGTTTTGGTTTTGGTTAAGTTTTGTTTTCCGATGTCTACTGTGCAGAAAAGTGGTTCTTTTCTGTGAAATCTTATTTAATGTTTTGATTTGAATGTCTGGTTTTCTTGTCCCGCCTCTGAAAGATTGCTTTTAAGATAAAGGGACGGATAAAAGGGTCGGAGCCCACTTTACATTAGCACTTTTTCATATTCTCTCCGTATTCCTTTCGTATTCCTTTTGTATTGCCATGAAACACTGAACCAACGATTAATCCTATTTTATTGTATTTCTTGCTAGATTCAGAATAAATATCTAATAATCAACGCCCCTATCGGTATTCTCGCACGACATTGCATAAAGTACTTTGGATGAGTGAAATGACTTGAAATTTTGCATGGGTTGTTTTTTTTACATTAAAGAAACTAAAAAAATACTTTTCACTGGACTAGCACTTATATCCGGCTCTAAACTAGCAAAAAACAGGGTGCGTCTATAATTTTTTGACAGAGTGTATTCAAAAAAGTCTCTGGATAAAAAGCAACTCAAAAGGTCAAAGAGTTTTCTTAAAAATAACTTTTATTGTCTCATAACAATTCATATAACAATTCATATAACAATTCATAAAAACTATTCCTTTTCAAACAGATCTCCCAATAGCTTTTACACAGGTGTCCAAACGTCGTAGAAAAGCGTCGATCGTCGATAGATCGGAGATCCAGCTCTTCCCAAGCCTTTTCAAGCGCTTTTTTCAAACTATCAACAGTTTTGTGTGATTGATAGCGTCAACTAATAGCACTTGTGATTTATTTTTCTTGTAGGCCTTTAACTTGAGCTTGTTTTTGATGATTCCTCTAAGGGATTTTCGCTCGCTCTTCCCCATTTCCGCTCCATTTTTTTGTGACATTTCCCGCACCGATTAGTTTGGCGCTTTCAACAGGCGATTCCTCCCTTTTTTGATATTTGCTGAAGTTGTTACCGTTCGCTTTTTTCCATTTTGCTTTCGCATTTGCGCATGAGTGAGCATTGTAACGGTAATTTTGGCCCGCCCTGTACAGGGTACGGCATAAGTATGGTTACAGACTCAGAGTCGTGTATCGTAATGAAATATGAACGGATTCATGTTAACTTTATTTAAAATTAACAACATATTCATTTAAAACATAACAAATTATTCAATATGGGCACCTTTATTCTTGATAACGGCTTTAAGACGCTTTGGATAACTTTCCCTAGCGGCCCGGCCCACGGCGGCCCGGCCCACGGCGGCCCGGCCCACGGCGGCCCGGCCCACGGCGGCCCGGCACTTTGTGGAATTTCCGCCCAGGCTTTCTTCTAAGCCTTTTTCAGACTTTCAACGTTTGCATGTTTTGTTGTGCATGCTTTTTGCTCCAAAATTGCCCAAACACAGAAATTCATAATATTGAGGTCGGGCGAATTAGTTGGCCATTTATTGGCGGGCAAATTGGCGGGAATGAAGTCGGGCAAATTGTTTCGACACCACTCATGAGTCTTTTTGTGCTTTGTGCGCTGGGGCGCCGTCTTGCATCAACGTCCAGCGCTGATTTTGATAATGTTCTGACTCCACGGCTGTACATGTTTTGTGAGAACGTCTAGATACACGTCTATGTTAATTTACTGGTTTCCAGTAATCGTCTGTGTTAATTCATTTAAAAAATAACAAATTATTCAATATGGGGACCTTTATTCTTGATAACTGTAGGAGAATTGAGGATTTTGAGTCATCGAATCATTTTCCAATTGAATCCCCTTTCGAGAAAGTGTTTTGAAATTTTGAGACATTTGAAAAGTAACTTGGTGAGTAAAGAAACTTGAAAATTGATGGGCAACTAAACTTGGGTAATTAAACCGAAAGGGGGTCTTTGCCTCGGTATAGGCAAACACCGTGTGCCAGTTGCTGCTTTTTCGGAAAATAGGCGCAAAGGGTACACATAACAAGTAAATTGATTGGTTTTCATTTTTCATTTTTGACTATACTGATTTTGAAATGTTTTATATATTAATTCTTGATATGGACTCAATTTAGAACAACAATTAATTGATTTTACAAGATATTTTTAAATATTGAAAAGTGTAGGAATCTTTATGACTCCATCAAGCCAATCTCCTAATCGGAACCTAATCGGAAATGAATCTGATCTCAGGTTCTGAAACTCCATACTTGATCAATCCATACGTCTCCATCAAACCATACTCGATTTAGTAAGATGTGGTTCGGAAATGAAAGCTCACAGAAAATTTGTGCTCCACATACCCATACCTTCCCTCATACGGACTCGACTCGGGTTCAACCCCCGTATTGCACTTAACTTTTACTTTCTAATTTTTGATTTCAAATGGTATAACTATATTATACCAACCAAAAAACCCTGCTAACAGTTTTTATGGATAAATTCTTTGCGGGCCAGGCATAGTCGCCGTAATGTAGTCGGGACATCGCTTGTCTACGGCCCGCACGGTCCGGGTTCAACCCCCGCCATGCCATTCAGGCTTAAATTTTCATTTTTTATTTGAAATGGCACAACTACAATATATTCTGAGGTTTTCTAAAAGATTTTTAGATCTATTGATTAAAACACGGCTAAGAAAAAGCCCGTAGAGATAGACAGACGGACAGACACTCCTCTTTTATAAAGTACAGGAAATTCGTGTTTTTCCCTAGTTACAACTTGAGTATTAAGTAAAAATTTAAAGATCTAAACAAAAGAAAAGCTCTGGATTTCGTTGTTATAACCTACTCGTATCCGGCCCATTCCAATCGGAACCAAATCAGAACCTAATCAGAACCTAATCGAAACCTAGTCAGAACCTAGTCAGAACCTAATCGGAACCTAATAGGAACCGAATCTAATTTCAGATTCTGAATCTCCATACTCGATTTAATAAGATGTATGTGTCGGAAGGGAAAGTTCACAGAAAGTTTGTGTTTTTCCCTAGTTAGACCAATGATCAAGTGTTTTGTGGAGAGAGGTCAAATCAAACTTTCGATCAAAAGCAGCGATGCTCCATTTTTTGCTCCAATTTTTGGTCCATTTTGGCCCATTTTGGTCCAAATGCTCCATTTTTTGCGTTTCAAAATGAAAATTTGCTTGTTTCGATAAAGAATTCTAGATAAATAATCGATAAATAATAGAGCAATCTTCATTTTTTTCAAATTTCAATCCAAAACACACTCCAAAATGATCACTTTTCATATTCTGTTTTGTTTGATTTCACTTTTCCAGCTCTTCTTATCACTTCCCATCACTAAACATCGATTTTTCAACGAAAAACCTCAAAATTCTTCATTTTCTCTACATTTTATGGCTAAATTTCTTTATCCAATAACAGGTTTGGGTTCTAAAAATTGAAATTTTGATAATTTCATCGATATTTTGATAATTTCATCGATATTTCATCGATATTTCATCGATTTCTTTAATTTTTTTTTTCAGGTGCTCTTCTAATTTATGTGATTCTCGGTTATTTTAGTCAAATTGATGTAAAACATTTGGGAAACGTTGAAGATGGACACGAATTTGTGATAAATAAAGAAGTTAGTAGGAAGAGAATGTGATTTTTAGTACTTTGAGTGCTTAGACTTCATCCTTTAAGTGTCTTTTGTGCTTAGAAATATCAACAAATCTCTCCTTTTGCTATGAAATCTTGATTTTTCTTTTAAAATTGACTAGTTTATGCAAGTAAAAGTGCACTAGAAAGGTTTTTTTTAGAGATTTTAGCACAAAAGTACATAGCACAAAAGTACATAGCACAAAAGTACAAAGTACCGCTTTTTTACAGCAAGGTCACCAAATAAAATACGAGCGATTTGAAATTTGTCAAGATTTCAATGATTATTCTATCTTTCATGCGGACAAATATCGATGCTACAATCCGATAGCGACAGCTTTCTTCAAGAATTCAATCAACACAACTGGGTAAGTCAAGAAGAATCGCCTAGCTCGACTAAAGTGCTCAAATTATGTGAAATACTTTAGCTGGAGTTTCCTGGAGATTGAAACGAGTGCAAAATACGATCCAAAAGTTCAAGCTTATGCTGCTGGATATCTGGAAGGTTAGAGAGGTCAAAAGAATTCAAAAACATTAGATAATCAGCTAAAGAAATCAGATAATAGCGTTCTTGCTAGACGCTTTGTTGGCGCAGTAGGCTGACGTTGACGTTGACGACCCGAAAGGCGACCTACAAAAAGAAAATTGAGACGAAAATTGAGAAAAAGTGCTGAAAACGGCTTCATAACCATACCATCCCGCATTCCCATACCTTCCCTGATACCCTGCCTTCCCTCATACCCATAGCTTCCTTCATACCGATAGCTTTCTGATACCCATGCCTTCCATCATACCCATACCTTCCCTCGTACCCATACCTTCCTTCATACCCATACCTTTCTGATACCCATGCCTTCCCGCATACCATACCTTCCCTCGTACCCATACCTTCCCTCATGCCCATACCATCCCGCATTCCCATACCTTCCCTGATACCCTGCCTTCCTTCATCCCCATACCTTCCCTCATACCTTCCTTCATCCCCATACCTTCCTTCATACCCTACCTTCCCACATACCCATACCTTCCCTCATACCATACCTTCCCTCATGCCCATACTTTCCCTCATACCCTACCTTCCCTCATACCCATACCATCCCGCATTCCCATACCTTCCCTGATACCCTGCCTTCCTTCATCCCCATACCTTCCTTCATACCCTACCTTTCCACATACCCATACCTTCCCACATGCCCATACCATCCCGCATTCCCATACCTTCCCTGATACCCTGCCTTCCCTCATACCTATGCCTTCCCTCATACCCATACCTTCCTTCATCCCCATACCTTCCTTCATAACCATACCTTCCATCATACCATACTATCTCTCATACCCATACCTTCCCTCATACGGACTCGACTCGGGTTCAACTCCCGTATTGCACTTAACTTTTACTTTCTAATTTTTGATTTCAAATGGTATAACTATATTATACCAACCAAAAAACCCTGCTAACAGTTTTTATGGATAAATTCTTTGCGGGCCAGGCATAGTCGCCGTAATGCAGTCGGGACATCGCTTGTCTACGGCCCGCACGGTCCGGGTTCAACCCCCCCGCCATGCCATTCAGGCTTAAATTTTCATTTTTTATTTGAAATGGCACAACTACAATATATTCTGAGGTTTTCTAAAAGATTTTTAGATCTATTGATTAAAACACGGCTAAGAAAAAGCCCGTAGAGATAGACAGACGGACAGACACTCCTCTTTTATAAAGTACAGGAAATTCGTGTTTTTCCCTAGTTAGAACTTGAGCATTAAGTAAAAACTTAAAGATCTAAACAAAAGAAAAGCTCTGGATTTCGTTGTTATAACCTACTCGTGTCCGGTCCATTCGCATCGGAATCTAATCGGAAACTAATAGCAACCTAATAGCAACCTAATCGGCACCTAATCGGCACCTAATCGGCACCTAATCGGCACCTAATCGGAATCTATTAGTAACCGAATCTGCTTTCAGATTATTATTAATTATTCATTGTCTTTGAAAGCCTTGTTACTTGTTTTAACCTGATTTTGGAAACAAATTTTAATCTTTAGTTTCTCGTGAACAATCTTTCTAACTGAAAAGTCGCTAATCTTCAAATTACGCGCTATTTGTTTCATTGATTTTTTGGCATTGCGCTTGATTGCCTGGCATTGCGCTCGCTTCCAGACGATTCTTTTAAACCACAGCTGGTTTTAGTCCTCATCCAGCTTAGATTTCAAGTTGCCTTCAACAAGTTAACAGCTCAGTCAACAGTTCTTAGTAAAGAATTGAGCTTTGAGCTAAAAATTGAGCTAAAAAAGCGTAATAGAGTCATTAAATATATTTCAAAAATTAAGCTGTCAATAATTATCACTCTGTAGCTTCTGAAGGACCACTTAGATGCGTAAAATGTAATTTCTTAGGTGTTTTAACTCGCCGCCTCATCGAGCATCACATTCACAATGTGATGTCCACATATTGCATTGGAAGAGTGGATTACTGTAGAAAATTGAGAGTAAGTTTGAAATGAGTACAATAGCTAGCAGTTTTTAGGAATTTATGGATGAGAATCACAAATGGACAAAGGAATTCCTCGCAGAAACCGATCCAGAAGACGCTTATTATTCAGCGGTGATTTTTAAAGCTAGCTTAAAGCTACAAGCTTAGAGCTACAAGCTTAGAGCTACAAGCTTTAAAGCTTTTTCTCAACATTGTTACGAAACCTAGCTAAGCCAGTTTAATCAGGATTCAGCCGAAAAAAGGGCACTGTAACTGAGCTAGGACTACTCTAACGGATTTCTTGCTGATTGTAGGGGATACTGTAGAGCTAATAGTGATTAGAGATACTGTCACTGATCTATTGTACTTGTAAATGTCTAGATCTCAATTCCTAGATCCACCGCACCTACTACCAACTGCAAGGTGTCATCGATGCTTTTGAGCGCCGTCCGATCAACCCAAGAGCCGATTTTGAGTTTCATGACATTGTGTGAGTTTCTCGATTTACTTTTCATTTTTCAAATTTCCTTTCTAGATTCATGAACTGGCTAGGAGAATTCTATGATCTTTCCGCTAAATTTAACGCGACAACAAGAGTGGATAGGGTTGAGAAATGTTCGGCTATGTTGAAGGTAAATGAAAGCAGCCCTGACTCCAAGACAGAACTAGATTAGAGCTAAACGGAGCCAAACGGAGCCAAGCGAAGCCAAACAACCAGGTCAAGGCCATAGCTAGGTCAGCTTCAGGGAACGGTCAGGTTCAGGGCAGGGCCAGCACTAGAGCAAGCCCTAATCAGAGCCAGGACAAGCTGGAACCAGAGCAGGGCCAGAGTTAGGCTAGTCCTAGGACCAGAGCAAGCCCTAATCAGGTCCAGAACAAGCTGGAACCAGAGCAGGGTCAGGGTTAGGCTAGTCCTAGGATCACACTAGTGCCAAAATCAAGCTCAAGCCCATTTTAGTACAGGCAGACTTGAGCTAAGAGAGTGTCAGGACCAAATTAGGGCCAGGGCCAGAGCCAGGGCCAGGGCCAGGCTATCAGAGCCTGATAGCCTGGCTTGCAGAGCTAAGATCATGATAGAGCTGTGACAACCAAGAGTCAAACTACAAGACAAAACTAGAGTAGGTTTTGCCGATTCGCCAGGGTTAGGCTCGAATCTCTGATTCCAAGGCTCTCATTTTCAGTTGGCTCCCGATAACAAAGATCTCTTCTTCTCCCACGTTGTCTGGTTCGCTTTTCATCACATGCTTCGAGTCATCAAGCTTTACAAATTTGGATATGGTAAAGTGATAGCATTGCTTTCATATGGAAAAAGTTTGAAAGCCGTAATTAGTATGGAAATTGAAATCTGAACGAGTTTAGATCGGGAGAAGTTCCCAGGCTACGCTGTTTCCTATACAGGTTACCCTGGGATTTTGAATTCACAAGATGACTTTCAAGTGACATCGGCAAAATTGGTTTCGCTTAAAATTCATTAGGATTTAATTCAAATTCCCTAGGCAATCATGGAGACAACGATCAGCCTGTACAATGCCTCAAAGATGGAGCACACGAAAGCTGTGGGACAGGTGAGCATTAGTCCATGGTATTGGAATCGAATACTATACTACAGTACTTTATCTTACTTTAAAACTTGTACTAGTTGTCCTTCAGTTCCCGTGCTGGATCCGCTCAATCGTGGCGAGCCAACTCGCATGGACAGCGAAAGATTGGGTCGAGATTTTCATCAGACATCATATGGGTAAGAAAAATGACAGGGGAAGGTGAAGTGGCTGAGCCAAATGATATGCAATCTGTACCATTTGACACAGAATTTCACGCTGATTCCGAAGCTGTTTTCCGTTTTTGCTGAACCTTATTCTGGATGGAGTTATAAGCCTCTGGACTCTGAAAATCTGGTCTTAGGCGTCTTCTGCGCGGCCTCGATTTTAGCATGCCTTGGTCGAGCGGTAGAGCGTCTGTATTCAAGACCGAAGATCTCCTTGCAGAATAAGGTTCAGCGAAAGCGGAAAGCAGATTCGGAATCTGAGTGAAATTCTGCGTCAAATGGTACAAGTTAGACATGAGAAATCGGGTTGGGTCGGGTCAAAAGTTGACGGACTCGACTCGACCCGAAAAATTGAATTTTTAGCAGGTAGGTAGTTCAACTTTGACTCAAATCTTCTCTATGTTCTTACGCATACAAGATAAATTGTACTTTTCTATAACCAAATTTCATAAGGAACATTTTAAAACCAAGCTGAAGTTGATCGGATAATTGGAAGTGGAGCTTGATTCCAAAGCTGGCTTGATTCCAATGCTGGATTGAATCCAATGCTGGATTGAATCCAATGCTGGCTTGATTCTCATACTGGCTTGATTCCAAAGCTGGCTTGATTCCAATGTTGGCTTAATTCCAATGCTGGATTGAATTCAATGCTGGCTTGATTCCCATGCTGGCTTGATTCTCATACTGGCTTGATTCCAAAGCTGGCTTGATTCCAATGCTGGCCTGATTCCCATGCTGGCTGGATTCTCATGCTGGCTTGATTCCAAAGCTGGCTTGATTCCAATGCTGGCTTGATTCTCATACTGGCTTGATTCCAAAGCTGGCTTGATTCCAATGTTGGCTTAATTCCAATGCTGGCTTGATTCTCATACTGGCTTGATTCCCATGCACAGATTGCATGTCATTTCACGGCTCAGTCAGTTCACCTTCTCTTGTGAGTTGAATGCACTAGAAAGATTGTGTTTACCAAATCTGAGCAGTACAGTAAAGTTCATTCAAATTTACCTAACTGCATTGTATTTTGGAAGCATTGTACTTTTGGAAACGCTTACCTTTTAATGCATCTCTGCCCTTCACTAGCAAGTTTTATAGCTAGTTTTGTGCCTTAATAAATGCAGTGCACTGGAAAATGCGTGTTTGCGAGAGGTCAAAGTACAGTATCATTTTAGGCACTTACAACAATCATTGGATGATCGCTGATTACAAGCTTTTTACGCCCGGTCAACCGTTGAGAGATGAGACATTTTATGTTCTCGAAACAATGCCGTAAGTTTCATTTCTAACATTCTAACATAATTTTGAAAGATTTCCAAGAATTTCTAGAGGTTTTTGGGTTTACAAGGATAAATCATCTTTTGAAAACCTATCACGCTTCGTACAATCTCCCACAATTCCCCGAAATCCTCGAGTATCTCGAGTACTCTGACTTGGTCTGTAGATCTGTAAAGATCTGTAAAACCCGCAGAAAAGTAAACCCCGCAGAAAGCCTTGTTCTCTCTAGATTTTCGATGATTTTTTAACCAAAGAACGAGTATTTTTTGAGACAAGAAAGGTATATAATAAAAAGTTTCGATGAAAGAAAAGATTCGATGATTCAATTGAGCTTCAACTGTGCTCAAAATAGACAAAATAGATTCAAAAAGACAAAATAGACTCAAAATAGACAAAATAGACTCAAAATAGACTCAAAATAGACAAAATAGACTCAAAATAGACTCAAAATAGACAAAATAGACTCAAATCCAAATGCCGTAAGTCTCTTTCTAACATTCTAACAGACTTTTTACATAATTTTGAAAGATTTCCAAGAATTTCTAGAGGATTTTGGATTTACAAGGATAAATCAGAGGATCTCCAAAAGAATACCTATCACGCTTCGTACAATCTCCCACAATTCCCCGAAATCATCGAGTACTCGGGCTTGGAGGGACATGTAAGTGCAAAAAAGATCTATAAAGTTCGTTTACATCGTTTACATCACCCGGAATACCTTTTGGTCGATTTGTTCATGCAATTTTAGGCTAAAAACTTCGATCCAGCTGGTAACGGGCGAATCGGCGGTGATTACTATCGGTAAATCTCAAATTCAACACCAAATTCTCTACTATAAAATAGGATTCACAAAATTCTATAGAATTTCAAGCTTTCTTTAGCATTTTTTTTACCTTTTTTACCCTTTTCTGGCCTCTTTTCAGCTCATTTAAAGCGCCGAGAGCTCGGATTTTTGCAAGAGATCACGTGAAAGCCATCGATTTTGAGAGTTTCACGAAAGTTCTCCGTTCAAACGATCCAATCAATGAAGAGTTCGCGAAATGTGAATGCGAAAATGGATATTCTGTATCGGCTGCAATTTCGGCGAGAGGAGGTAAAAGAAATCACAAAAAGTTGTGATCAAAGTTATCAAAACCAGGACACGCTTTGAAGCAAGAAACCTGGCCTAAAATCCTAAAATCCTAAAATCTAGAAGAGTATGCCTGGAAGTTAGAAGGCCAGAAGCCAAGTTAGAAGGCCAGAAGCCAAGTTAGAAGGCCAGGAGCCAAGTTAGAAGGCTAGAAGCCAAGTTAGAAGGCTAGAAGCCAAGTTAGAAGGCCAGAAGCCAAGTTAGAAGGCCAGAAGCCAAGTTAGAAGGCCAGAAGCCAAGCCAAGCTAACAGAATTTTACTCCAGAACTAGGACACTCAATTCTAATCCCCATTTTGAAGCTATTTCTGAGTTGAGTTGCAAATGTAACGCCTCCAAATGATTGCCAGATTGTCTAATTTTCGATTCCAATTCAAGAATCTTCTGGACCTTCTCTGGACCTTAAAATAAGGCTCTGAATTCATCAAAACCTAGCTTTATTATAGTCAATAAGATGTAAAACAGTAAGAAGTATGAATGCTTAACTGAAGTGCTCGTTTTTGGTCGATTCACAGGCTAAATCTAAATCTAGATCACTAGAATTTCTAGAGATTATAAACTAATCTCCCAATCGATCCTTCAGCTTCAAATTAAAGCTCTGAATTCATTGAAAGCTCAATTCCAGCAAACAATTGTTATTTTCAACCAATTTCAACCAATCTCAAAAGCGTTTAGACCTCGGTGTAGCCAATGGTACCTACGAGTGCTACGATTTAGGACAAAGAAATATGGGTGCTCTTGACTACAAGGTAACTTACAGAGTTTTATTTAAAGTTTCATTTTTAAGTTCTTTCCCATGTCATTTTGGAGGCAAAATAGTCTTTTTATGACACAAATGATTCTTTTTTCTTTTCGTTTAAGCCTAGACAACTGAAAGACTTTAAGTTCTCGGCTTCTTTTGATTTGAAAGGTCTTCATAGCCGACTCACTAAAAGCTATCTTACTAGAGAACGATTTCAATTTACTACCGAATTTCGAAACCCTAGCTAGCTACAAAAAACCCCATTGAATTCTAAAAAATATATTTAGTTTTTAGTGGATGCTAGTTTTTGAGAAAAACGCATGTAAAATTTAGGCTAATTTTAGCTAATTTTGGCTAATTTTGGCTAATTTTGGCTAATTTTGGCTAATGTTGGCTAATTTTGGCTAATTTTGGCTAATTTTGGCAAACTGTCACGCCTATAAAGGGCAACAAGCGGTAAGGATAATTATAGCGAAAAGGAATCAAAACTGTAGAGAAAAGGAATCAAATTTGTAGATAAAAGGAATCAGGGAGGAAACTCACGTCACTCAGTCACACCTAGGCACCAAGCGGTAAGGAAAGTCTAGGGAATAGTGGATCTACGAAACTAAGGGAAGAAGAAGGAAAGAAGGAAAGAATTAAGAAAAGAAGAGCAGTGGTAGCCTAGGGAATAGTCGACTAATCTACGAAACTATGGGAAGAAGAGGAAAGTAAGGAAAGAAGATATTGGATATTGACTCAGGGTATTGATCACCATCGAATGGAATCGATGTCCTATCGTGCGTGGGGTGCTCCTCCATTTGATGATGTTTATCCGCCGTTTGAATGGAAAACTTTCGAGAAAAACTCGAATTATGTAAGTTGCGGTAGGCTTAGGTTTACAGTAAAGCGACTTTTATCTAATAAAGCTTTAGCTTAGCTAATACTGCTCATAGTTTAATCGGTTAATCGGTAGAATACTATAATATACTGAGTTGCACGGTGATGAATTCCTTTCGTCTCGCAACGATTTCGATAGCTTCAATTTATTAACTAGTTTTACAGGAGTTTAAGCTTTCTGGTACTATTTAAAGCCAATTTCTAACTAAGCCAATTCAATTTTTGCAGCGTCTTCACCACCGTGGCCATCCCGAGAAATTCGATTTTGATTTTGTGGAAATCAATTGGAAAACGAATATTTGGGATTAGAATTATTTATTGAGGAAATAAAATTATTGAAAAAATTGTTGAAAGAAGAATTCTCGAATTTGCTAAACTTATTTTAGAGTTGAGACTCGACGTTGCAATGAATGATGAGCTAAATTTGATCAAATTCTTTCTTTAATCAGGCCCAAAACAAGCTAGAACCAGAAAAGGGCCAGGGTTAGGCTAGTTCTAGGATCAGACCAGTGCCAAAATCAAGTGAAATCAAGTGAAATGAAAGTTATTCTGACTCCAAGGCAGAACTAGATTAGAGCTAAACGGAGCCAAACGAAGCCAAAAAACCAGGTTAAGACCATAGCTAGGTTAGGCTCAGGGAATGGTCAGGTTCAGAGCAGGGTCAGCACTAAAGCAAGCCATAATCAGGGCTAACACTAGACCAAGCCCTAATCAGGGCCAGAACAAGTTAGAACCAGAGCAGGGCCAGGTTTAGGCTAGTTCTAGGACCAGACCAAGCCCTAATCAGGCCCAGAACAAGCTAGAACCAGAATAGGGTCAGGTTTAGGCTAGTTCTAGGACCAGACCAAGCCCTAATCAGGCCCAGAACAAGCTAGAACCAGAATAGGGTCAGGTTTAGGCTAGTTCTAGGACCAGACCAAGCCCTAATCAGGGCCAGAACAAGTTAGAACCAGAGCAGGGTCAGGGTTAGGCTAGTTCTAGAATCAGACCAGTGCCAAAATCAAGATCAAGACCATTTTAGTATAGGCAAGCCTGAGCCAAAAGAGTCTCAGGACAAAATGCACTTAATTATGAAAGTTAAAAAATTATGTCTTTGAATATTTCTCATTTCACAACATCACAACATAAAAAGGGTTTATAGCGATAAGACCTCCCCAAGATGACAAAAGGTTTTGAGACAGTACAGTTGTCACTCTGGTTAACTCTAAAACTCTAAAAGTCCTGTTGTAATCTTGGGGGAAGGTCTTATGCGCTATGAACCCTGTTCACCGGACATTCTTTTTCTGGGAGGTGAAATAAATAGTTGTTAGATATCTTGCCTAAGCCTAAGTCTTAGCCTGAGCCTAAGCTTTTCAAATAATCCTTCAGATCCTCTCGAGAAATAGCAGTCGATAACAATAGACACAAATCGACTTCGACCCGAAATTTAAAGAAACTTTTTGCACACATAAAGCCTTCTTTAAACATACGTTTGGTTTCATCAAAAGGATCCACTATTTCTCTACAAAATCACTTTTGAGAGATTCCACAAAGCTTTTCTTTCGTGGAGTTTCGGAACTTCCAAACGCAGCTGGTTAAAATGGCAAAGAGTCCGACTCATCATTTGAACAGTTTCTTTCACATAAACCTTCTTTGGTGTTTATGTAAAAAAGTAGTAAAGTAGTAAAAAGTAAAAAAGTACGAGTACAAAGCGCGCAAAGAATTTCTTGAAAGAAGATTTCTTTACACGAATCTTCTCTTAGAATAATTACGAGATTTTTCATTATCAAATCTTTATTTAATAATATTCTTTACTATTATTACTAATCTTTACTTCTTTATAAATCTATTGGGTTGGGGAGAATGAGTCGGCGCCGAAAATGAAAAAAATGTCTAAAACTTCTATTCGACTTCGTCAAATAATATGCGTTTGATATGAGTAGAATGGTTAACTAATTCTCTACAAAATCACATTTAAAAGAAAATTCAAACAGCGCCTCCGCTCAAGAAAAAGCCATTTTTTCACAAAAACTACAAACTGTGATCTAGAAAAAACCATTGGTGGGATCTTCCTGCAAATTTGGCAACTTAAGTAATTGAATGTGCTCTATCTTTTTTATATAAACACCAAAGAAGGTTTATGTGAAAGAAACTGTTCAAATGATGAGTCGGACTCTTTGCCATTTTAACCAGCTGCGTTTGGAAGTTCATAAACTCCACGAAAGAAAAGCTTTGTGGAATCTCTCAAAAGTGATTTTGTAGAGAAATAGTGGATCCTTTTGATGAAACCAAACGTATGTTTAAAGAAGGCTTTATGTGTGCAAAAAGTACCTTTAAAGTTTGGCGCCGACTCATTCTCCCCAACCCAATATGTCGTAGCCGATTATGAATTTCAGCCGATTATGAATGAGCGGGTCTAGGAGCGTCCAACCATCAAGTATTTAGTATCATTTAACGCAGAATCATGAATAATTATGTTAAATTTTTTAAATTAGAAAGATTGGATAAAAAGAAAAAAAATTAGAGCAAAAAACTGTTTGTTCAAGAGAAAACTTTGTAGCACCATAATTTTCTTTTCTTTTTATCCAATCTTTCTAATTTAAAAAATTTAACATAATTATTAATGATTCTGCGTTAAATGATACCAAATACTTGATGGTTGGACGCTCCTAGACCCACTCATTCATAATCGGCTGAAATTCATAATCGGCTACGACATATAGAAATTTTCAGTCGCTCAAAAGGATGAAAATGTTGAAACTCGAGAGAAATGGTTGAAACGAGTGGAGACTGAATGCATCGAACAAACGAGGAGTGACCCCAATACAACAACTTGTCGAGAACGGCCCCCTCGCCGAGCTTCGCAGGTGGGTGAACAGAAAGAAAAGCTCACACTGAATATCATGGCATCTGCCGATGTGTCACATGCCGATGTCTTCTATTTTATGTGAATATTCTATTTTCCCAGTATCTTGAGGCTATTTTTGTCCCTTCAGATTATAATTTTTTTAGATAACCCAGAAAGATCCAGAATCTAGAAAGCTCTATTGAGTAGAGCTCTATTTTTCTATATCATTAGTGAGCGCTATATCACAACTTTACGCTTTGAAAACAATAATACAATTATTATTGATTAGACTGATTTTCTTCCAGATTTGTTTCCAAGCAATTTCTCGAATTTACTTTTCAGATTCAAGGCTTTATTTGGAATCGAAGGAAGGTGAAGGAACTCTGGAACAAGGAATCGAAGATGAAGAAACTCTAAATCTCAATGAACCCACAAACCAGCGTTCCCTAGCCTTCAAAATGATTTTTCGCTTGTTCTTTTTTGATTTTCCTGTCGAATTGACTATAAAATAGCTCTGTTACACATAGCTCTTCCTTCTAAACAAGAAAAAAAGCAGAGATAACGGTAACAAAGTGCTTATCAATTTCTTTTCCTGGCAAGGCCTGAGTGGTTTTTTTTTGATTCAATAGCTTCAAAGTTTGAAATTTTCTTGAAATTACTTTCTCGCTGATCAAAAATGGCTTTAATCTTTTGGGTTGTAAAAGTTGTTTGTTAATTTTATCGTTAGAATGTACTGAATCGTATCCTTCTCCTTTTATTAGAGTGAACCAAAAGTTTTCTATTTTTTTTTCTCTAGAAGTTTGAACATTTTTTTAAAAGCTAATAAATTCGTTTTATATATGTTAGGTCCGATACTGAGGAGACGTCCATCTTCGATCCGGACGTCCGAATTTGAGGAGATTCATTCTCCTCTAAAACGGACGTCCGACTCAGAGATGGACGTCTGACTCAGAGATGAATGTCCGACTCAGAGATCGATGTCCGACTCAGAGATGGATGTCCGTCTCAGAGATGGATGTCCGACTCTGAGTCGAACGTCCGTTTTGGAGGAGAATGATCATTCTTCTCGGAATCAAACGTCCGAACAAATAGTTTAAATGAAAAATCCAATGTTTTAAACAAAACACATGTATTCAGGTTCAAATTTCCCTTTTTCTTTCAAATTCAAAGGTAAAATTGATGTGATATAGGAAGAGGCAACTCGACCAAGACCTAGGAAGTACGGATATGCGCCAGCTCTCGGGACTTAGAGATCCAGGGGAAGTGATCGAGAGAAAAAGACTCAGATGGGCCGGTCACGTAGCCAGAAGAACAGACGACAGATGGACGACACGGATCACAGAGTGGCTACCACGAGACCAGAAGAGGCCCATTGGAAGACCAGCAACGAGGTGGAGCACAAGAGTGGCAGAGACGGTCAGAGAAAGGATGGCTAGAGTGCAACCACCACCAGCACCAGCAAGTCAAAGACTTCGAACCAGAAATAACCAAGATAGGAAGCACTGGATGACAACAGCAAGGGATAGAGAAATGTGGAAGCAGGTTGTGATCTGCGCAAAGAGGAACACCTAAGTGCGAAGACAAATCAAAAAAAAAATTGATGTGATTGTGCTTTTTCAAGTTCTACTAAAGTGCCGTTAACCTTTATAACAAAAATAACATAACAAACAAAAAACAACAACAAAAATGAATAGTTGCATAGACCATTGACATTAAAAATAAAATTGAAACAAAAAAGAGACAATAATTACTTGTTAGTACAGCTTTTCGAATGGTGGCATCTCGAATTGCAAATTGCTAAACCGTAAATATTACAAAATTATTTGTAAAGAAAAAAAGGAAATTGAGAGAATTTCCATTTTAACTTCCTTTTTCATTTGTTTTGTTCAAAATATTGGATTTTTTTATTTAAACTATTTGTTCTCAAGATCGGATGTCCGATTCCGAAAAGAATGATCATTCTCATCCGAAATGGACGTCCGAATCAGAGTTTGACGTCCATCTCTGAGTCGGACGTCCGTTTCAGAGGAGAATGAATCTCCTTAGATTCGGACGTCCGACTCAGAACATATATAAAACGTAACATATATAAAACGTAGCATATATAACGTCCGACTCAGTCGAACGTCCATCTCTGAGTCGGACGTCCGTTTCAGAGGAGAATGAATCTCCTCAAATTCGGACGTCCGACTCGGAGATCGACGTCTCCTCAGATTTTGACGTAACATATATACGTGCCATATTTTTTTTTGTAGAATTTGATCTGCTCTTTTATATTTTACTAATTTATCGTGTGTTTAACTATTTATTTTTTTATTTTTTACTTTGTTGTAAAGAGATGAAAAAAAATTCAAAATTTGGGTACTTTTGCGCCATTATTGAAAACAACAAACAAACATTATTCAATGCAACTGAAGCGGCCAAAAAAATATGCCAAGTGGAAGGTGAAGAAATGGTCTCCAACATATTAGAAACGAAAATTTAAGAACGGCGAACTTGGTCTCGAAGATCAGCCAGGTTTCGGTCGGCAAACTACTGTGGATTTTGAAGCTCTACGCAACGTTGTTGAAACCAATCAACCAGCACTCGCAGCCTGAACTGGATATTCCTCAAACATCAGTTATCCACCACCTTCATGCCCTTGGAAAGATCAACAAAAGCTGTCAAGAAGCTGCCATATGATTTAATGGAAGATTAAGCTCAAAATTGTGTAGACACTTGCCGAAAACTGCTGAAAAATGATGATGACCGCTTTATTCTCCGAATTGTGATGAAAAGTTGGTTTATTTTAGTAATCCGGACAAGCAAAATGAGTGGTTGAATTCCGGGCAAGTAGCGGAACCGGTAGCAAAACTTGATCGATTCTCAAGGAAGGCATTATTGTGTGTTTGGTGGAATTTCGAAGGCATTATTCACTTTGAGCTGGTTTCAAATGATCGGAAAATCGACGCAGACCTCTACTGCGCTCAACTTGACCAGAGATATGCGGAGCTTAGTGAAAAGGATCTTGCTTTGGTCAATCGAAAGAGCATAGTCCTTCAGCAGGATAATGCAAAACCTCATACCGCCAGACAAACCAAGGAAAAGATCAAAAATCTCGACTCAATTGAACTTCTTCCACATCCAGCGTACAATCCGGACCTTGCACCATCCGATTATTATCTGTTCCGCTCCATGGCACACTTCCTTTGCGGACGAGCCTTCAATAATCTGCGCGAAGTCGAAAAAGGGTGCCGCGAGTTTTTCGCCTCTAAGAACAAGGAGTGGTGCCGCCGCGGGATCGACCAACTTGCCGATAGATGGCTTCAAGTCATAGATTCAAATGGTCTTTATTTCGAAGCTTAGAGTTCGTTCATTGTTCTTTTATTTATGTTGAAAGTCTTAATAAAAAAAAATAGAAAACTTTTGGTTCACCCTAATATTAATGTCTACTCTGAGATGTCGCAAGCAACTTAGGAATTAGAGTTTTAGAGAAGACTCTTTCTTTTAGAGTTATTGATTTTATCCTTCTTCTGGTTAAATCAATTGATTTCTAAAAAGAGTGGCTCTTTAGAAAAAAAATCCTCAGAAGAAACCATAAAACTATTTCTATTGATTTCTAAAAAACAAGAATGGATAAGCGATCTTAAATTTTTCCATGTTTTCCACCGTTATCAACTTTTAGGCATTCAGTGATGAGAAATCAAGAATCTCGAAACAGAGACAGTGACGCTTTACTGCCAGAAAGTTAGCATTTGTTGGCTATTTTAAACTGCAACTCATTTTCAATAGCAGATAAAAGATACCCTAATAGAAATCTTGCGGTCTTTTTCCTTTGTATCTAGTGCAGCGTTGCAGGACAGTCGAACACGTCAACCTGGTTGCCCACTGAAAATGAGGTGAGCCGATTGAAAATATTTGAGAATTCTTTTCTATCCTGAGAACGAATTGAGGAACTCTAAAGTTATCCGTCAGCCACCGAATTTACAGAGTAGCTTTTATACTTTTTTTTGGGCTCTTGATTTGATTTCCAAAAATCTTTTCTAACACCATCAAAAATAATAGGAAAGATACAGTAGAATACAGTCGACTTTGTAGTCAAACTAATCAATGTGTGTGAACAGTCAAAATTTGGGAGTCCTTTTTCTTTGCGCACGATTCATTTTCATTGTTAGTTTCATTTAAGTTTACGTTTTTAAGGTGAATCGTCTGCACAAAGCCGTGCGAGAGCTGGACATTAATGAAGTGAAGGAAATTTTCAGGGAAAAGATGGAGCCCGATGATCGGCGAGTGTTTCGTTTCTTGGATTTTCTAGTATCTCATTATTCGGCTCATCTATTGGGTTGGGGAGAATGAGTCGGCGCCAAACTTTAAAGAAACTTTTTGCACACATAAAGCCTTCTTTAAACATACGTTTGGTTTCATCAAAAGGATCCACTATTTCTCTACAAAATCACTTTTGAGAGATTCCACAAAGCTTTTCTTTCGTGGAGTTTATGAACTTCCAAACGCAGCTGGTTAAAATGGCAAAGAGTCCGACTCATCATTTGAACAGTTTCTTTCACATAAACCTTCTTTGGTGTTTATATAAAAAAGATAGAGCACATTCAATTACTTAAGTTGCCAAATTTGCAGGAAGATCCCACCAATGGTTTTTTCTAGATCACAGTTTGTAGTTTTTGTGAAAAAATGGCTTTTTCTTGAGCGGAGGCGCTGTTTGAATTTTCTTTTAAATGTGATTTTGTAGAGAATTAGTTAACCATTCTACTCATATCAAACGCATATTATTTGACGAAGTCGAATAGAAGTTTTAGATATTTTTTTCATTTTCGGCGCCGACTCAGTCTCCCCAACCCAATATTTGACCCATAGTCTAGAAGTTGAGCAAAATAAAGAAGGAACCCAGGCTTTCCCTTGATAATGTCAAGTCCCAAGGTCAAAAACTGGAAAAAAACTTCTCTCCGGTGGAACTGTTAAAGATTGAGTTAAAGATCGAGTAAAAAATCGAGTTAAAGATCGAGTTAAAGTCGATCAGTGACTGAGCTTGAAGATATTAAGACACTCCTCCATTCATTAAAGAAAAACTGTTCATAAAAATTGTTCATAAAAAATACACTCAATTTTCTAGTAAAAAGTTGCTCATGGCTTTCTCAACAAAACAAGATGGCGAGTGTCCGGACGAGCTGACGGCAATGCATCTTCTCTCTTTTCCATTCGAGCCCTTTTCCTATATATCCTTGATTCCGCGTTTGCAAATATTGGGTTAGTCTATTTTTTTTGAGAAGCTTTGTATTTGGAGAAATATTGGAAAATTGGAAAACTGGAAAACTGACCCGTTCAAATTGATCAGTTCAACTCTAGCCTGGAATTTTGAATGGAATCTCATAAAAACATGACCTGAAAAAACCCGAGCTAGGGGCTGAATTGACTTTTTATAAAGATGCATAATAAAACTATTTTCATTGTTCGCTTTTGTTTAGTGATTAAAAGGCAAAACTTTTATTCAAATTAACTGTTTGAATTTGAGGTGTTCAGGGGTGTTCATAGACCCAACATTTTAGGCCCAAAAAAGTCAAAGCAAGGCCAAAAATGTCAAATTGCACAATTTTATGTGCTAGTCTTTATGAAGTTCGGGTTTTGTCGGTAAAAAAAATCACACCAAACCAAGTCAAAAGCCAGAAAAAGTGTCGGAAAATCTATTTTTGAAAATCTACCCTAGCCAGTTTTGCTCTAAAGAAGCTAAGTTTCGTGTTAAACATCGCAAATAAACTAAAATAAATCAAGCCTGCCTAATATCACTGCAATTTTAGAAAAAAATCGCGATGATATCATCGACTATCTTCTTCTATTTGGAGACGGGTAGATTTTTGGAAATTTCAAGCTTTTGCCTATAAAGCGTTTAGGGACATCAATGTGTTAGATGCGAATGAAATGACCCCGTTGCACTATGCTGTTAATCAAAATTTACACAAAGTGATCGCTAGCCTGCTGAGGGACGATCGAAAATGTGATCTGAATGTTGGTTGATAGTGAAGAATGACAAGATCAGGCGTGTTCCTGGACCCAACATTTTAAGCCCAAAAAAGTCAAAGCAAGGTCAAAAATGTCAAATTCCACAATTTTATGTGCAAGACCTCATGAAGTTCGGATTTTGTCGGCAAAAAAAATTACACCAAACTAAGTCAAAAGCCAGAAAAAGGGTTGGAGCTAGACTTTTTAACTCACCTCTGAAATCGGAAAAGTAAAAAAAAGTTGGAAAAGTGGGTGCCTCATCAGTTGAACGAATATCAAAAATTGCAACAAGATCAACGTTTAATCGTTTTGATTGTAGCGATTCCTTGAAAATTTTTATCATATCTAGGCAAGAAACAAAGAAGGCTACACCCCGTTGATGCTGGCCTGTGTCAAGAACTCGAAAAATGCGGTGAGTTCTCTGAGATGTTCTCTGAGTTGTGAGCTAAAGTGAAACAAAGCAAAAAAAAATTTTTGATTTCAATTTTCCATGCAAATTTTCATCATTTCTTTGCCCAAAAAGTTGGGTTACAATAGAATTTTTACCGTATTGTAGCTGCTTATATACCCCAGGTAACGAGCTAAACGATTCGACTGACACGAAGGTCAACTGGCTGATTTCAAAGAAAGTACCTGTATCTAGGCCAGTATTTGTAGCTGTCCTGGCCCGATTAATAAAAATACTTCAGCCAGACAGAAACCAGAGCAAGAGAGAGCTAGAAACCATGTCTAAGTCTTGAATCTGATTAAAACTGGCCATAAACCAGACTAGAACTTGATCCTGACTCAGCCATATTAATGCAAACAATCCCCTGCAGTCCCTAGTGGGCAAAACTGAAGCAAAACTATAGCCAAAACTGAAGTCATTAGAAGCCTGGATCGCTTAAATTACAAGGAAAGGTCAACTGAGCCGGTCAAATGCTATGCGACCATACCATCCGACGCAGAATTTTATTCTGAATCCGAATATGTATTCTGTTTTTGCTAAATGACAATCTGCCGGTAGTTATAAGGGTCTAAAGTTTTGCTAGGACTCTGAAAATGTGGTTATTTGGATCTTAGTGGTCATTTGGATCTTAGTGGTCTCATTGTGGTCCTAATTCGGTGCAGCCGTGGCCCAGTGATAGGACGTTGGTTTCCAGAGCGAGACCTGACAAGTTCCATCCCCGCTCTGGGTTTTTCTTTTGCTTTTTTTTAAAGAAGTGCTGACTAGGGTTCTTTTTGCGCTCGCCAAACATATTTCTTGTTGGCACACTTTTATAAAGTTTTTTTTACACTCTTACAACAATAATTTTCGAATAAAGACAAAAAAAGAAAACATAGCAACTAACATTGATGATATCCATGATAAAATAGAAAAAAAATCATTGCTTTATATTGCATTGAGCACAAGACATACATACATGATTAGTGCAATTCATAAATCCATTTTTGCTAACGCAATACAACACGATTTCGCTCTGGAAACGAACGTCCTACCACTGGGCCACGGCTGCACCGAATTGGGACCGCAAGAAGGCCGCTAAGACCCAAATGACCACATTGGCCGGCTCAGCCAGTTGACATTCAGTCGAATCGTTCATTTCATGTCAGTCGAATCGTTTAGGTATATACCTGAGGTATATAAGAAGCTACAATAAGCTAAACATTCTATTGTAACCCAACTTCAGCCAGTCGACCTTCCCTCTATTTTAAAAATCAAGTCAAAATTTTGTTGGGTTGAATGCAAGAGTTGGAAACAGCTATTTTGTATTTTCATTTCTCAAAGCGGATTTACAGCATTTTTTATTTTCATCGCATCAAATTCGGCCATTTAATTTATCAATAAAAGAAAAATTTCAGCTAGAGGCTCTGTTCCAAAGGCGGGATGATCTGGATTTGACCCTTTGCGACGACAAAGACGGAAACAACTTCTTTCACTTTCTCACCAACTGTGATGAGACGATGATCGACAAATTTATTGGTTGTTCAGATGAAAACGATTTTTGAGTGAATCTATAGAAATTTTCAGTCGCTCAAAAGGGTGGAAATGTTGAAACCCGAGAGAAATGGTTGAAACGAGTGGAGGCTGCGCTGAATGCATCGAACAAACGAGGAGTGACCCCAATACAACAACTTGTCGAGAACGGCCCCCTCGCCGAGCTTCGCAGGTGGGTGAACAGAAACAAAAGCTCACACTGAATATCATGGCATTTGCTGATGTGTCACACGCCGATGTTTTCTATTTTATGTGAATATTCTATTTTCCTGGTATCTTGAGGCTATTTTTGTCCCTTCAGATTATAATTTTTTTAGATAACCCAGAAAGATTCTGAATCTAGAAAGCTCTACTGAGTAGAGCTCTATTTTTCTATATCATTAGTCAGCGCTATATCACAACTTTACGCTTTGAAAACAAAAACACAATTATTATTGATTAAACTGATTTTCTTCTAGATTTGCTCCCAAGTAATTTCTCGAATTCACTTTTCAGATTCAAGGCTTTATTTGAGGGAATCGAAGGTGAAAGAATCCTGAATCCCAATGAACCCACAAATCAGGGGATCTCAATGAACCCACAAATATTCTCCGATTTCAAGGAAACGGTAAAAAAGTGAGTGCATTTCCGTATCAACTCGACTTTGACTTTTTTTTAGGGCAAACCCCTACTTGTTGCTTAGTGCTGCCGGTGTTGGAGACGAGAAAGTTTTGCAATTCCTCTCCACTGAAGTAAGTGGATCTTTTTTGGGGGTAGCTACTACGTTTCCTCGATTAGAACCCATCTTTTGAGCCACATGTGGAGGCTTGAACTATTAACTTCGAAAAAGTAAAATAGCCTCCATTTTTAGTTAGGTATCGAAGTGGTTTCCGAACGAGTGAGAAAAATAAGGATCAACACTGATAGACAAGAGAGAAGTAACGAGAATGATGACGAGAAGAGTGACGGGGAAACGGCTCTTCATGTGGCCGCCAAATACAACAAAAGAACTTTTGTTCTTGAACTGGTCAAGCTTTGTCATTCGAAGGTGGGATCAGTGTCAGGATTAAAGACTAAATCGAGTTTTAGGACGATTTACCGGAATTTCTGATGGGTAAAGACAAAAAGGGAATGACTCCGCTGTTGCACGCGGCTCATACGGGAGCATGGGATGCCGCTGAGGTTCTCAGTCATTTGGTCAAAATGAAAATTCTAAGAATTCAAAGGGAACCTGGTCAAGTTACTCTAATAGGCGTCATTAGGTTAGATATGAGGGTTAAAAGGTTCATTGTCAACGAGGTTACAAGTTCATCAGTGATCTAATGAAATGTCACTGTTTTATTTAGGCCGCATAGTAGCTCCCAAACTCATTTACCAAGCCTTTTTAGTGCACTTTTTAGTTTACAAATTTCCTGCAGGGGTTGACAAGGACTTCTACGGTAATTGGGGGATCCAGGTCAAAGATATTAAAGGCTATGTTCGCTTCTTGCAAATTATGACTTTGAAAGATTCTAAACCGTTCAAAAGTAATTCCTACCAAAAAAGCTTCGTAAAAGCATCTCAGTTTCATCCAATTTCTAGGTTCTGATTTCGGAAATTCGAGAAACGGGAAAGTACTCCGACACCAAGCTCTTCTTTCACCACAACGACTCTAATGAGAACATGCTGATCTTGGCGAAAAACAATAAACATCCGGATTTCATTGAAGTGAGATCAATTTTGCAAGAAGATAAAGTTCAAAATCAATTTCTAGCCAATGGTGTTGTAAATCTTAGTGTTGCCTTAAGACCAAGGTTTAGAAAATCAACAAGGCTTTAGAATCTTCTCAAGACATTGATCGTGGACGATTTGGAATACGCGAATACTTTTTGGGAAGCGCAAAAGTTGGTTCGTCTTTCTTTGAAAACTCAATTCTTTTTAGATCTGAGACAAGTATGGCGAAAAATCTGTTGTACAGTATCGTCGGGTGCGGCTCGGTGGAGGGCTTGAAGGTGGGTACTAGACATGCGCTCTCGAATCGAATCGAATCGACTCGAGTTGACTTGATGATTTTAGAAGTCGAGTCGATGTTAGCTCGACTCGAATTGAATTGACTCGAGCTAACATCGACTCGAGGCACACTTCTAGTGGGTATCAAGGTGGGAAATCTTCGGTCCATTACCAATCGCCTTCAGTCTTCTCTGGTCATTTGTTGGTCTAGTCCAAAAGATCGGATCATATTCATTTTATTTGGTTTTCCGGTTCAGTCTGAATGCACACTCCTGGTGTGTACGAAAATCTTTTATTAGAACAAATTTCTCAATAGAATTATTGATCGTTCTAGTGGAAGAAAAACATTATTCTATCTGGAGCCAAATATGGGGAAAAAGATAATATCCAAAACACATTTACCTTTCACAAACGTTTGAGTTCATCTCTAAATCATCCTAAGCGCTAACGTTAAAAAGCCAAATTAGAAAAATTTTAGAAAATACTCGACAAAGGCGATGAAAAAGATTTTGACGACAGGAAACGTGGCATACAAAAAATGATTAGCACGCGGGATGAAAACGATGAGACCGTGCTGCATGTGGCCATTCGAAAGGGGCATTTGTCTGTTGTGAGTGGGGGAAAAATGGAATTGAACCCAATGAAATAAAGCAGATTGGGATTCTGAATTAATATTGATTATCCGAGAAAAGGTGTTTATGTCACTGTTTTATTTAGGCCGCATAGTAGTTCCCAAACTCATTTAGCAAGCCTTTTTAGTGCACTTTTTAGTTTACAAATTTCCTGCAGGGGTTGACAAGGACTTCTACGCTAATTGGGGGGTTCAGGTCAAAGATATTAAAGGCTATGTTCGCTTCTTGCAAATTATGACTTTGAAAGATTCTAAACCGTTCAAAAGTAATTCCTACCAAATAAGCTTCCTAAAAGCTTTTATCTTTGAGACCTTTGCCCAAGTTGTCTTCGTTTCTAGGTCAAATACCTCCTTCAAACTCCAAATGTGGCTCTGGCACTGATCATCAACGAGGTCGACTCGCAAAAGAATACGGCTCTACATTTGGCGGCACAAGACGGTAAAATTGAGTGTAATAAAGCTCAACTTGTATATTCTAGGTCATGAAGAGATTTGCACTGAATTATTGAGGAAAGGAGTGAAAACTCATTTGGTGAATAAGGACGATATGACACCGTTTGATCTGGCGATTTCGGTGGGGTTTTTTTAAAAGGAAAATCGTGTACAGTAATCTCTATCATCCTCGTATTTCATTCTGAAGTTCTTTTTTGTGGTTTTGCCACTTGACATCACTTTTTCTCCCTTTAGTGTGGCCAACTGGAATGTGTCGAGGCTCTAGCAAAGCACTACAAAATTGATGGGGGAGATGTGGACAAGTAAGAGAGGAGTTCATGAGCAACGATTGTACTAAAACATAGAATGAAACCACTACATTATGCGGCAAGAGGAGGACACGAGAAAATCGTCAAATATTTGTTGGATGTGACCAAAGATAAGCCGGGAGCAACGATAGACAAGACATGTTGGATAAAGGGCAAGGGTGAGGACAGGTCCTCGGCTCGTTTATGATCTTCAATCTGATTGTTCTCCTACCAAGTCAGCCAGAAATTATTTACCTTGTTTGATTCGGATCTGACCTATTTGACGAATTGACTTTTTATTTCATCCCTGGCTGAGAAACTTATAAAGCATAAAGCCTGAACACTTGACCTCCATTAACGTCGGATCGGGAGGGATAAAGATTATGTAGTATCCCTGTAAATGAAATTCACAATTGTTGATCAAATTATTCAAACGGATGAAACGCTTCAAATGGGCAATGGGATCAAAATCAGATCAAACTGATCTGGAACAAAACTTTTCTGTGCATAGAAAGCATAAAAATAAAAACAAAAACGTGTTTAGACAACAATTGGGAAGAAAAAACGGCTCTCGACATTGCACTCGACGGGAAGAAAATGTTGGTGACAAAAAACTTTTTATTGTTAATCAAAAATGAAGCTTGAATATTTGACTTTATTCTCAGTCTACTTTGACCTATTTTTAGAAAAGTGGCCGAAATTCTGCTGAAACATCGAGATTGGAAAAAGTTGCTGCGCAGAGCCAAGTATTTTCCAGAAGAGCAGGTGATCTAACATATTAGGTACGGAAAAATTCAATCAAAGTAAAAACCAGTCGAAACTATACATGATAGCCAACGTTTAGCTAAGTTTTCAATTCCTAAAGTGTAGAAGGCGGGCTTCATTGAATCGATAAACTCCTTGATGCCATTTTCCACCTCCCTTTGAGTAGCAAAGCATTTCTCCGATAAGAAGTGGTCGAGGAACTTGAAAAAGTAGAAATTCGTAGGCGACAAATCGGGAGAATATGGAGCATGAGGGAGGACTTCAATGTGCAGCTCGTTGAATTTTTGAAGAATCCAGTGAAAAATGCGAGCGGCCGCTGTGTTGTAATAGGATGGGACCCTTCTGATTCATTAGAGCTGGATCGATTCCTCGAAATTTTTCATACATTTTGTTTATTTTGTGAATGTTCAGATCAGAATTCATCGTTTTTCTGTTTGGTAGAATTAAATAATGGATCAGACCTTTCTGCGATCATCAAACACTGAGAAGAAGCTTCCTTGGGTGTAGGAAAAGGAGTTCGGTGGTTGTTCTTTATCTAGCCATTTGGCTTTGCGTTTTCGGTTATCGTAGAAAACCCATTTTTCATCACAAGTTACAATTCGTTCCAGAAATGGCTTCTTTTGATTACGAATCAGCAATGAATATGATGTGAGGTAACGGTGCAATTTTTGATATTCGTTCAACTGATGAGGCACCCACTTTTCCAATTTCCTTGAGAGGGTTCCCAATTGTGTGTGGAGAGACCCCAAAGTTGCTAATTCTGCCTCGGTTGTTATAGGATCAGCTTCTAGCAGCTCCTTTAATTCGTCATTGTCGAGGCTAACATGCCGTCCGCGGCCTTCCTTGTCATTAAGATCCTCGTCGCCTTTCCGGAATCGTTTGAACCAGAGCTGAACTGCTCTAACTTCAGCTTTACCTTCTCCAGAAGCTTGATTAATGTTTTGGGTCGCTTCTGACGCATTGTGGCCACGTTTGAACTCATACAAGAAGAGAAGGCGAAAGTCTCGATTTTCCATCGATTTAAAACCTGAAAAAAACCATTAAGAAAGGCCTAAGCAAAGGTGTTAAACCGAAAAGAAAATTGAGAAAAAAATACTCAAATACAGAAAAAAAATCCTAAGGGGAATCAGCATCTGTAGTTGCGTAGGCGAGAGTGAGACCCATAAATACGACATTAATTTTTTCCCGTACCTAATAAATACGAGCTACCGAGTTTCTCAAACATAATAAAGATAAGAGACACATACAGGGTGCGTCATAATTATTGCAACAAGAGTTCAAAGACTGTTTTCCAAACAGGAAAACAGGCGTGTCATAGGCGTGTAAAGCCAATAACAATCAAAATTGGACCTTCATGCAAGATGGAGCTCCCGCTCACACGAAGAAGACGGTTCAGGACTGGTGTGTGGCCAACTTTCCCTCAGTGATCACCAAGGATGAATGGCCTCCAAACTCACTGGATATCAATGTGATGAACTTTTTCATTTGGGCAATCTTAGAGGCTAATGTCTGCTCTCGAAAACACAAAGTTTCAATTCTTTGAAGAAGTCTTTGACCAAAGGATGGAAGGCGATTCCTCAAGATGAAATTCGGGCCGCAGTGGAGGCATATCCGAACCGATTAAGGGCTGTTATCAAGGCAAAAGGCGGTCATATCGAATGATCTCTTGTTTCCTTATTTGTTACTGTTAAATAAAGCTATTTCTGTTTAAAAATCTTTTTCCAGTGAAACTTCTTGGTGTGCAATTCCTTGAGTATCTTGTTGCAATAATTATGACGCACCCTGTAATAGACTAATTCCGCTGTGGTCCACTCACCTTTTTGCCAAAGGATTTTGAGAAATTGATAAAGAGAATACGGTAATTGGAAAATAAGAAAAAAAAACGTTTTCAGGAAGAGCTCGAGACGCCGATGAGAAGATTGATCAAAAAGTTTCCATCTTTGGCGAAACAAGTGATGGACCAGTGCAAAGAGGCGTAGCCACTTTTGCTCTCTTTGTCCATTTTAAGTTGATTTTTAGAGTGCCAAGAAGTAAAAAGCACTTCAATTACAACTTTGAGTTCATCGATGACACTTTCATGTTTCCGAAAAAAGACGGCAAGTTCTGTTATTCTAATAGTTGATTTTTGCTACTTCAAAATATAAATTCTTTTAAAGTTTTGAAAAATTTGAGAAATAAACGTAATAATAATTTATAAAAGAAAACTTTTTACAAGTTTATTCGAAAAAAACCATTTTTCTTTTTATAAAATCTTTAGTTTAAATTTGCTTTTTAGCTTTCATCTTTTAACTTTCTCTATCATCAAGAAACTATCCTAAAATTTACTTCTATAGGCTTCATATCGATTAAATCTGTGTGCATTCAGGTAGCTACAGTTTGAGCAACGAGAAGGGAGAGGAGCTCGTTCCAAACGAATATCTGCATCCCGATGCTAAATGCTATACGAAGGACAAGATCAAAATCAGAGAATTCCATCCTTTGAGGCTAATGGTTGACAAATTTTCATAATATTTTCTATTTGAGAAGCATCTAGGCCGACTCAGAACACAAGGAGACACGAGAGCTCCTCGAGCATGAGCTAGTAAAAGTGATGCTGGACTATCGATGGAACACTTACGGGAAAAGGGGATATTATATCTGTTGTAAGTGATTTGTTAATAACTCAAAAGTCATTATTAGATTCTCCGATAAAAACTGATTTTCGATTTTTGGTTTTGATTTTTGTTTTGTTTTTGTTTTTTTTTGTTTCCTTAGAGCAACCTTCCGACTTTTTGTTTCACTTTTTGGCTTATGACATAGATAAACATCGGTATTGGTTTAAGAAGTTCCCAGAAAAGGACGCCTGTCAAACACCAGTCGACACACAATATTCGCTTCTTTTCGTGGCTGTTTCGTTTTGGCACCGTTTTCCCTACACGCGCCCTTTTTTCAACCACTCGATCATCGTAGAAAACCCACGCTTGATCGTAAGTGATGATGATCGAAAGAGAAAGTTGACCATACCGGTATTTGCTTCACAAGTGGTGGCCTTTATTTTTGCTTGCACTGTTTCCGACATTTCGTATGGGATTTGAAGTTGTTTTCTCCAATTTCTTTTCACTTTTTGCAGCCATCGCCACATAGTCATTCGTCCACAGTAACGTCCAGTCAATTTCCGCGTTGATTCATCGGGGGTTTTGCAAGAGTCGGTGCCTCAAAAGCGATCGATCCCCTTTCCGGGATCGGCGCTTCCTCTCTTCCGTTTGATCCTCGTGTTGCCCGTCTTGAATTTGTGAAACGATTTCTGTGGAATACTCGTTCAAATGATTCTGTTGCCATAAAATTGATTGATTTCTCGTGCTGCTTTGGCCGCTGAAATCCCTCTTGAAAATCGTTGGAGCATCTCGAGTTGGCTTTATTCGATTGACTGAAACTCTCTTCTTGTGTCGATCTCTAAAAAAATGAATGTTAGTGCGAGAAAGAAGAAAGTTTTAGCATAAAAAAGAAAAAAAAAAGATAAATACAGATAAAAGATTGTGTTGTGAGCGAGAACTGATCAAAACAAAAATCTCTAGATTTTTATGGGACAATTTAATCTAGGGCAATCAAAAGGTAGTGTTCAGTCTCGAATAAGCTTGCCAAAATTGTCAATTTTCAACCACAGAACATTGGCTGTATCATAAATATCCGCCATTTCGAAAACGATTTCTATTTTCTTAAAATTTTGCAAGCTGCCATTTTTGGCCCTTTTTCATTGAGGTCAAAAAGCAATTTCTTAATGGAGAAAAACCAGTTCATTCAAGAATCATTTAGCCCTCTTGCCCTACATTTCATTTCTTATCGCCTACATTGGACTCTTCTGTTTGATGGATGGCGAAAATATTCATCCTAATCACAATAACTCTACTCATCAAAACGGCCTTCGATCTATGAATTCATTTGATACGGTGAGCATAGATGAATAATCAAATATTGTACCCTTTTTACTAGGGCAGCAATCCTACCGTACTAGATTTAGTTCTACTTACCGTCAAAACTCTAATAGACGGTCACTCTCTGATGGATTGGTGAATTGAAAACTGCCGGCTATTGTCATATGTGACAGTTTGAGCACTTTCTTCAAAAGAAACCCATTTTGGTGTCAATGGAAAAGTTGTAGAGAATCAAAAATCAAGCTTATATCCAAATTTCCAAAAAGATACACTTAGTAGTTCCGCTCAAAATTTGTGTGTTCTGTGTCTTCTTTGTGCGCTCGCGTAATCGCTCGTCGTCTGGCGCAGGGCTTTTACATAAACTCCTTCCCTCTCTGCTCCTGAATCTCTTCTGGCCGTTTCCAAATTTTCAAATTCGACATTGACTTCTCCGCAAATCAAGGTTAAACTCAATCTATATTGGTTGGTGGATCAAAAAACTACTGGCTATTGTCATATGTGACAGTTTGAGCACTTTCTTCAAAAGAAACCCATTTTCGTGTCAATGGAAAAGTTGTAGAGAATCAAAAATCAAGCTTATATCCAGATTTTCAGAACGATTCAAAAACTGGTTTTCAAGAAATGCCAAATTCACGAATTTTCACAAAGCTTGCAACAAAGCTTGCATTTTAAGCGAAATTGTTTTTTTAGCTCAAATTTCTTGCAAAAGTTGGTTGCAAAAGCAAAAGAAACAGTTTAAAAACAAAAGAAAAGAAAGAAACACTTTAAAAATCAAATGGGTCTTGATCCAAAGAAAATCCTTGGATCAACCTCGAGTCAATCTTGTGGTGCAGCCAGAGCGATGACACCACAAGCGGCTCGCGCTCCCGCATTGCCCGTCTTCAGCGATTCCTCCTCTTTCTCACCTTGGCCTTTTCCTAAAGCAAACTCTTATTATCAATCTTGTAGACAAGCTACAGTACTCCTTCATTTTGACACAACAAAACTTTTAAGCGAAACTTGTGGTGCAGCCGAAGTGAGCGAAAAGTGTATCTTTTTGGAAATGTGGCTATAAGCCTAATTTTTGATTCTTTACAACTTTTCTATTGACACCAAAATGGGTTTCTTTTGAAGAAAGCGCTCAAACTGGGCTAAGAGCTGACATCTCCAGTCCTCGATTTTTGAGTCTCACACTTGTCTCACACACAAACCTTGTTTGGGAACTTTTGGCGCATTCCTCATACAGTCCGGACCTCGCCCCTTTTGATTACTATTTATTCCGGATCATGAGTAATGAGCTTGCGGGGGAACACTTCGATTCGGAAGAAGCAGTCAAAAATTGCCTTGAAAGTTTTGAAAGTTTTTCGATTCAAAACCAAAATCCTACTACGAAAGAGGAATCCGCAAATTGCCTGTATAGTATTTTCCTTATTAGATTTGCCATTGAAACACGTTAGATCTATTACCATAGTTTGAAATATGAATGTTTAAAAATCGAATTTTGTAAAAATGTCCTTTGGCGCTATAGACACTTTGTTTTTTTGGCCTATTTCTCATTTTTTTCAGATAATTTAGCTCTTTTTACTCAAAAATCATTTCTTTAAGGTACTCTGAGAAAATGCCAAGGGAACCGCCACCAGCCGCTGTCGGAAAAGGAAACTGAAATCATAGAGACAATGAATCGCGAAAAGCACTCAAATCGGGAAGCAATACGACGATTTCTGGACCGAACACCAACGTTAATTGGATACTATCTGTCTGATCCTCTACAATACGTAACAAAAAAGTTGACTCGTCGAATACCTTTGGTTTTTGAGCGAGTTAAGAGACACATTTGCGGAGAAGCATCCAACTCTACGCTTTCCTGCTCGAATATCAAGGCGAATCTCAAGCAAAACAGAAAGCTGAAGAAAAGCGATTTTATTGTGAGAAGAAAGATGCGTAAAGCACCGTTTATGACGCAAATACATCGCAAGAAAAGACTAGAATTTGCTGACAAAAACAAAAGAATTGACTGGAGCAAGGTGGGTGTGATTTGGCTGATGGGAAGTTATTATTATGTTTAGGTCGTGTGATCGGATGAGAAGAAATTTGACTGTGATGGGATTGATGGAAATCGTTATGATTAGCATTAAGAAATGAAAAGATTAGCTTTTCGGGAAGAAACTTTAAAGAAGATGGTGTGATGGTATAGGCAGCAATTGCTTCAATTGGCCGAGTAAAACTGGCATTTGTCTCAAAGCTCAATACCAATTTATCTTGCGGCGATCAATTCTTTCGTTTTGGCATCGGAATCAAGACGAAAATCACATTTTTTTGCCCAGGACAATGCTCCAATACATGCAAGCTAAAGCACTAAATGATGGCTACAACGAAAGCAAGTTCGACTCCTTGACTGGTCTACCAATTCTCCCTATTTAAATGTGCAAGAAAGTGTATGGGGATTCATGGTGCGTTACATTTACGCAGGAAACAAGACTTATAATGACGTGCCTTCTCTGAAATCTGCCATAATTGATGCTCGGAGAAAAGTAAACCAAAATCTGATCGTTAAACTTGTGGCCAGCATGAATAATCGAATTTTTCAATTGATTCGAAACAATTCAAACAAACAATAGAGGTCCTAATGATTATTAAATGTTGTTGCTCTTTTTTTAAAATCATTTTTTTTGTTGCTAAATAAAAAATTTTATGTAGTATCCATTATATGGAAAGCGCCAAAGGGCATTTTTTTACAAAATTCGATTTTTAAACATTCATATTTCAAACTATGGCAGTAGATCTAAAATGTTTTAATGGCAAATCTAATAAAGAAAATACTATAAAGCAACTTTTTTCTCTATCGTTTTCTTAAAAGCATAAAATTGGTAAAAAAGTAAGTGTACATATAATTTTGTGAAGCCGTGTATTTACACTTTTAAAAACAACAAATAAGGCAAGAAGATGACCAATCAAATGAGGTGTGCATTTTTTTGAACATTTGGCAACAAATTTGTGATTCTTTTTGCGGTTTGTTCATGAAATGCCATACAAGAGATGGCAAAAGCAAAGGCAAATGCAAAAGCAAAGGCAAACTTGTTTTTTACTGGGCGTTCCTGGATCCTAAAAAAATTATGAGTAAAAGTCTAATTTCAATAAAATTGAGCCATTTATTGAGTTGTTCCTCATTTTCTAAATACCGTATTTACTCTATTAGTGGGGTCCTCTCTAATAGTGGGGTCCTCTCTAATAGTGGGGTCGTTTGGAGGGGGGTTGAAAAAAAACAGTGGAATCGATTAGTGAAAATCAGTTTTCTAAAGTGCGCGCTCCATAAAACGCTACCGTATACCTACTTAGGCCATTGTTGTCTTTTGAAAAAATGTTTTTCAAGCATAATTTAAAAATCGATTGTTGCTTAAAGAAACTTTATTTGTCGTATTTTTATGTTTTGTTACTTAGTTACGTTTCTTAGTTAATTTTGATTTTTTAGGCGCGATGTCTTCTTCGAGCGATTCTGAAGAACCGATTTCAAAAAAGAGAAGGGTCTTCGACGTTTAGACAAAGCTCAGGGCGATTGCGGAAGCAGAGAAGACGATGAACAAACGGGGAACTGCAAAAAAATATGGCGTCAAGCAAAGCGTGATTCAAAAATGGTGCAACCACAAGGAACAACTGGAGAAGCAACAGAAAGAGAACGGAAAGACGATGAAGAGGATTCAAGGAGGTGCTCGCAAGTTGAAGGATGCGGATTTTGATCGAGACTACATTCTCTATTTGGAAAAGCTGAGAAAGGAGAACAACTACATATCGATATTTGCTTGCGATGAAACAGGTATCTGGCTCGATCAATCAAACTCGCTGACGATTGCGGATAGAGGATCTAAAGACGTTGCAGTACTTTCGACTGGGCACGACAAAATGCGGATCAATGTGATGTTAACAGCAAGGGACGATGGAGTCAAATGCAAACCTTTTGTACTTTTAAATCGAGTTCGCCCCGATCTAAAAATTGTTTCTAAGTTTTCCGGAAAACTACAACTTCACTGGGCAGGAACTACTTGGATGAATGATGAATCGATTGCAATTTACTTACAAAAAACTCTTGGATCTTTGTCTTTTGGAAAGCGATTGATCGTTTGGGACAGTTTCTCCGCCCACAAAAGTGCGGCCACCAATGAGAAACTTAGAGAGCTAAAAGTCGATTCGATTTTGGTGCCTGGCGGATGCACGAAATACATTCAAGCGCCAGATGTTGTGTGGAATGCGCCTTTCAAGGCGAGGATTCGCAGCCTCTACGAAGATTGGATGGTATTCGGACAGAGGCCTTTGAACAAAAACGGAAACCCAGCCCCACCACCAATGAAAACATACTTAGAATGGGTGTGGATAGCCTGGAATGAACGTCCGAAGAATTTCATCATACATTCGTTCAAGACCTGCGCAATCACCACAAGCACTGATGGATCGGAGGACGGGTTAGTAGTTACTATTTTTTTTGTTATTAACCTTCCTTGTTACCTAATGTTCAAATTTAGGCTCATCCATTGCTTCAAGAAGGATGGTCCAATCCCCGAAGGAGCCAAACAACTCGCCGATGCTCGAATTGAACGCGCCATCTCCGGAATCAACAATCACCTTTCATCAATCGAATTGGAAGAAGATATTGGTAACGAAAGTGATACATCAATTGTTGATCTCTTGGATTAGTTCTTTTACTGTTTGTTAATGTTTTGTTACGGTTAAAGCTAAATAAAATATGAAGCCAAACTTGTTTTGTCAAGAATTTCGGAGAAAAATTAATATCTTTTCAATTTAAAACTTTGGTTTTATGTTCTTTTAAATTTCTCTAATAGTGGGGTCCTCTCTAATAGTGGGGTCGTCTGGAAGGGGATTGAAAAAATAGTGGGGGACCCCACTAATAGAGTAAATACGGTATGATATGCTTTTCGAAACTATCTAAAGATTAATATCAAATATTATTTGCAAAAAATGGAGAAAAAAGCAACAATAGCAATAACAGTTTATTTTCACAAAGAAAAATCATTTTCTTATGAACTGGGGAGTGGGACAAATGCGACCTTTTTTGTGCACCCGGCCATTTGCGCACCTTTTTTTCCGCACCCGGGACATTTCCGCACCTTTTTTTTGCGCACCCGGGATATTCGCGCACCTTTTTGTCCATTATAACAAGGACTGCCCTAGAACCACAGGATCACTTGGCTTCACTTTTTGTTTTTTTTCCTGCTATTGGTCTGTCGTTTTAAAAAATTTGGGCGGAGTACGGTAGCGTATCCACGCTTTGGAAAGTGCACCACACTGCTTTCGAGCCAATCCCTTAAAACTACACGTTAATAGGAATCTACGGAGTAGGACAAATGCGACCTTTTTTTGCGCACCTGGGACATTTGCGCACCTTTTTTTCCGCCCCTGGCCCATTAGCGCACCTTTTTTCGCCTTTTAAAAAAAGCTCTAAAAAGCTAATATTAACCAATTTCTATTTCAAAAGTTGTTTTTCTAGGTATTTTGAGGGTGTAGAATCGAAATTTTGACATATCAGAGCTTGTGGAAGCGAACGGACGGAGTTATACAAAGAGAAAAATCGACAATTTTCTGTAATTTGACCTACCCGTTTTGTCTTTCAAATTGATTCCACAAGCTCTGATATGTCAAAATTTCGATTCTATACCCTCAAAATACCTAGAAAAACAACTTTTGAAATAGAAATTGGTTAATATTAGCTTTTTAGAGCTTTTTTAAAAAGGTGCGCTAATGGGCCAGGGGCGGAAAAAAGGTGCGCAAATGTCCCAGGTGCGCAAAAAAAAAGGTCGCATTTGTCCTACTCCCATGAACTGCGAGATTACGGCAGTTGAGGACTTTTTAGAAAACATGAAATTTGAGGGGAACACAATAGACTCCCACCGCTCTGACCTCTCCAAATATTGATTTTTTAAGAAATTTTTAGCTAAATTTGTAGATATGATGCTAGCTAGAAATATTTTAGCATTGTAAGAATTAGAAGAAACAAGTAAAATTAAAAATGTGATTTTTGAAAAAAATTGAAAAATAATGGACGACTATAGGGAATTTTTTTGAAAGATTTTTAAGGGGTTCAGGTGAGAAAAATTTTTCACTTTTGTTTTCTATATGTTTTGAACCAACAACTATCGTTTAAAATAGTTTTTGTCTATTTTTTTCGCCGGTCGATTTTGAGGCCTCGCAAAATAGACTCTAATAGACAGTCATGACCGTCTATTAGAGTTTTTACGATATTAGAGATACTGAAAAATGAGTCCAACAAAGAAATTCAGGCCAATTCGATTGTTATGACGTTTGTGTTTGTTCTGTTGTCGATTCTAGTCGGCAAAGAGGTCACTCAACGTTTCGTTGTGTTTAGCAAAGAAAATCTTTAGCTTTTTCAAATGTATCGAATGAAGGGCGCATATTTTCGTCAGCGTAAATTCTTTTCCATTCAATCAACTTCAAAACGTAAAATTCAGTTGATAATTGGATTGAATTGGGCGTCTATGTGGCATCATTTGTCACAGCGATTTGGAGATTTCAACAGATGAGTTTTTACTAAATTTCAATCACATTTGAGAACTTGAAAACTTAAAAACTAAACATTTTTTTAGTTTTTCAGCTTTTCTTATTTAAGGCCGATTAAACTAAAAGTAGTCTCTAAAAAAGTACTTTCTTAAGAAACCTACCGTAATCTATAGCCATTTTCCTTCTACCACAAAAATTTGGGTTATAGTTTGATAAACGAATTTCAAAACTAATGATACCAAACTTTTGACTCTTAGATTTCCAATTACTTATGAGAAAATAGACTTTACTCTGGCTTAGGATCTGAGAATTCAATTTCTCTAAAACTTAAACAGCACAACTGCACAACAGCAAAAAAAAATGAATTCCAGTTGTCCACAGAAATGTACACACCAACAACGGACACCTTTTGGATCGTTTCGTCACTTGTTTTTGCTTGCTCGTGGTTCAATCTGGTTGGGTTTCCTTTTGGAAATCCAAAAAAAAATCTATTTAGCTTATGTTGCTAAGGAAAACAAAGACATTTGGACCATTCATCTTGATGTTCCACAAAGTCTTCCAATCGTTTATTCGATTGACGGTCATCTTTGTTCTCTTCATCATGGCTTTCTCTTTCAGTTTCTATCTGCTGATTCAAAAAGTAATTTTTTACAATTGCCAATGTAGTTCTGCACGCCACAAAGCATTTTAAAAGAAAACTTCTGAATAAATACTCAGTCAAGCTGAGAAAAAAGATACTATCTTAAACAACAACTCTAGAATTAGCTAAACTAACGCTGATTCAACAAATTCATTGAAGCAACATTACAAGTAATCTATGGTGAACGTGTTTGATCAAGCTGATCAAGCTGATCAAGCTGGTGAACGCGTTTGATCAAATTTCCCAACCATGATGCTAAATAAGAAATAAATTGTATTGCAGGAGGAGTTCTCAACTCGCACATTCTCTTTCCTCAAAACCCTCATGATGTTCACGGGAGAGATCGACTATTCGGGTATCTTTTTCCCCGAGACACCGAATCCGAAACAAAGGCGAGTTTGACAAGAAAAAAATCAACGTCATGACGACAGAAAGTTTCCGAAATAGAGCTTTTCCAATCAAAGGTCAATCGTAAATAAAACCCTAAGTTTAGTGAAGCCCTACGAATCACGGCCATGGTGATTTTCCCGGTTTTTGTCATGCTCATTGTAGTTCTATTATCGAATTTGTTCACTGGAGTCGCTGTGGGGGATATTGAGACTATTCGGAGGGAAACCGAGATCACGGAGATCGCTGTACGAGTGAGTTCAACTTACAGTTGTTAAAAGCTTCGGTGAGCCGGGCCCGGAGATCACTGTACGAGTGAGTTCAACTTACAGTTGTTAGAAGCTTCGGTGAGCCGGGCCCAAGATTACGATGTTGATTACATCTTTCCCGTAATCCGAAGAATCTAAAGGAAATCTGTTTGCTTTACTTTTCCTTACTTTACTTTTCCTGCTTTACTTGCATTGGTCGATCGTGTCGATCTTGTTCCTCTTGCTGCTATGATGCTTTACTTTTCTAGAAAGAGCATCACCTATGATTGAGCTCAGAGTTCTGTCTCCTTCTCTGTCTACATCTAGTATTTTTGGCATTAGACATTAGACAACTTACAACTGAGATTGATTAGAAAGAAAAGAAAACTGTGCAGTCACTCAATTTTACCATTATTTCGATTTTAGGCCGATTGCATTTTGATGCAAGGGATGTTTGTGCAAACGATTATGAAGAAGCAAAAATATCGTCTCTTCAACCATGACATGGACAATCATAGCTACGGACCATGGGAGTTCTTCAAGGAATGGTTGACTTTTTGGCCTAAATTTTGTATTTTATCGAATTTCAGCATTGGTCGATCGTGTCGATCTTGTTGCTCTTGCTGCTATGACGCTTCTAAAAATGAGGTTGACATTTCAAAATTTTGATCCCAACTTTTTTTAGAATGACGTCGAAAAACAGTCCATTAAATCATCTACTAGTGGACAGGGTAGAAAAGATTATTCTAAAGTACTTCACTGGCTTACTTTAGTTTCTAGTTTTCAATTTCAGCCTCAAGAAAAGCAAGAAAAAGAAGTGATTGATAGCTTCCCTGAAGAAAAAGAGGAGATTGATAGCTCCCCGGAAAAACACTTTACCACAACGCAAAACATGGTCAAGAATTTGCAATTACAAGTGGTCGGTTTTATTCTAACTAGCCTACACATCTATTAGAATGTCATCAAACATGTTATTCTATTTTTCAACCACTAAAAAATTCACTCTAATAGGAAAATACAGTAAAAAGTTTGATTGACTTTTTTCCTCAATCCTATCTAGAAAACGCTGAACAATGAGCTCAGCGAGCAGAGAGAAACGATGAAGAAAATGTACTCCTTGCTTGAGAAACTTGTCGACCTGGTAAAATCATCTTACGTTGTACTGGAAATTTGCAAATTAAAAAATCGCTTATTATCAGCTTTCATTCTCTGTCTACACCTTGCTTTAGAAACCTCTAACACCGAATGCACAACCAAATGATGGGACGCAGGAAGCCAAAGGAGATCCACAACAATCTGTAGAACAACAACCTGTAGAACAACAACCTGTAGAACAACAACCTGTAGAACAACAACCTGTAGAGCAACAACCTGTAGAGCAACAACCTGGACAGCAACAACCTGGACAGCAACAACCTGGACAGCAACAACCTCCAACGCCGAATGCACAACCAAATGGTGGGACGCAGGAAGCCAAAGGAGAGCCACAACAACCTCGACAGCAACAACCTGAAAAGCAACAACCTGGAAATCAAGGAGAGCAACAACCTGTAGAACAACAACCTGTAGAACAACAACCTGTAGAACAACAACCTGTAGAACAACAACCTGTAGAGCAACAACCTGTAGAGCAACAACCTGGACAGCAACAACCTGGACAGCAACAACCTGTAGAACAACAACCTGTAGAACAACAACCTGTAGAGCAACAACCTGGACAGCAACAACCTGGACAGCAACAACCTCCAACGCCGAATGCACAACCAAATGGTGGGACGCAGGAAGCCAAAGGAGAGCCACAACAACCTCGACAGCAACAACCTGAAAAGCAACAACCTGGAAATCAAGGAGAGCAACAACCTGTAGAGCAACAACCTGGACAAGACGATCCCGCTTCACAAGGCGAACCGTTTGACTTGAGCCTGCCCGTAAAGGTTAGACAAATAAATATTAGGCTAGAGGTGAAGAAATATATAGAAAAATTCATTAAAAAAATAGACATGAAAAGAAAAAGACAAGAAAATTGATTTAATATTTTGTTTTATACCTCTAAAAAAGTTGCTTAAAAACGTGGTTTTTTTAATATTCAATTTCAAAATCCGATCATTTCAGCTAAACGAGGACGAATTGATCAAAAGTGAAAGAGATCTCAAAGGCAGAGAAAACGAGCAAGATCAGAGTGAAAAAGGTCTATTCAAGTCTATTCAAATCTATTCAAGTCTATTCAAATCTATTCAAATTAAATTGAATCAAGTAAATTCAAAATGAAAGTGATTTCAGTCTAGGGTCTTTTCTTTTCAAATTTCAATCTCTTCTTTTGTTGCCTAGTTGAAAGCAAACGAAAATTTCAATAAAACTCGCAAAAAAAGTGCTAAATCCCTTGATTTCGGGACAGAAACCCCGAAACGCGAAACCTCGGGATCATGAAGATTGCGCCAAAGGGAATTGGCATTGATCAGCGCCTTCGCTTTGTGCGAGTCTGTTATCAAAATTTAGCCCTTCAATTTGGCTACACGATCGTATAAAAAAGTTTTAGAAAAACTGTTGTTTAGTACAAGAAAAATGGCTGCAAAGTGAGAGTAGCGAGTGTGCATCGCAATACTAACAACCAGGTACCGTCTTTTGTTTGAGTGTGTAGTGTTGGTCTTACTTTGCGGTCATTTTTCTTATACTAAACAACAGTTTTTCTACTATTTTGTAGCCCAATTGAAGGGCTACAATTTGATACGAGACTCGCACAAAGCGAAGGCGCTGGTAAATGCCAATTCTATTCGGCGCAATTTTTGCTTCGACAGGGTGCGGCAAAAGTTCTGACACTTTTTTTCAAACGGTTGTATAAAATTTCAAAAAACAGTACTTGGCTCACTTTTTGTTTTTTAACATTTGTTAAACTGTTTTTCCTTATTTTTAGCAGGAAACAACGTTTTTGTTTAGGTTCGTTTTCAATATGGATGCTAAAAAGAGGCGCACTGTGATACTTGAGTTGCACAAAGCCGGAAAGATACCGATGGAGATTGTTCGAGTCACCGGATATCCAAAAAAGTCTGCCTATCGAACCATTGAACGATTCAAGGAGCGGGGCAACAATCAGGACCATCCGAGAAGCGGCCGACCAACCACAGCCGTCCCTCCAGAGAACACAAAAAAAGTCAGATGCCAAATCCGTCGAAATCCTACTCGTTCAATGAGAAAAATGGCCACAAGCCTCGGAATCAGCGAAAGAAGCGTTCGAAGGATTGTCCATAAGAAACTTGGAATGTTCAGTTACAAATTTGCTCGGGCTCATTTCCTGAACGACGCCATGAAGCAAAAGAGAATGGCTAAAGCGGAGAAGATGCTGCGCCTGGTCGCTGCTGGTCGTTTGGACCAGGTTGTGTTCACAGATGAGAAGATCATCACCGTTCAACCTATCCACAATCGTCAAAACCATCGCCAACTTCTCAAGCGAGGTCTGAAAAACACTTTTGCAGCCAAATTGATGGTCCCCCAACATTTTCCGAAGTCCGTTATGGTGTGAGCCGGCATCTTTGCCACAGGAAAAACGCCTCTTGTGTTCATCGATTGAAATGTGAAAATCAACGCTAAGGTCTACCAGCAAAAGGTGTTAATGTATGTCTTAGAGTCCTGGGCAGCGAATCATTTTGGAAAAACTGAATTTACCAGGAGCAGGACTGGGCGCCGGCCCATGGAGCCCACTCGACTCTCGCTCTCTGCAATCAGCTGTTTCCGGGCTACCGGGGTAAGGACATTTGGCCGTCGAATAGCCCCGATTTGAACCCCCTGGACTTCTCCGTTTGGTCAATCTTGGAAGACAAGATCACTGGCAAGAGATTTCACTCCGTGGATTCTTTGAAAGCCGCTTTGAAGAGGGCCTGGGCTGAAATCACTGTTCAGCGATGCGCGACCATCGTCGGCAACTTCCGCAAGCGATTGAAGAAATGCATCGAGGCCAAGGGTGGAAATTTTGAACTTTTGTTATGATTTTTTGTGAGTTTTGTCTTCAATAAACAATTTGTTATCGTTTTTTTGATTAATTTTGCAAAGTTTGCAACTTTTATTTCTCTTAGAAAAAGTGTCAGAACTTTTGCCGCACCCTGTACATAGCGGCGCAATCTTCATGGTCCCGAAAACTCAACTAAACCAACATTCTTGAGGCCCAGTTTGCCGGGCAGGTTTACTTGGGTTTTTGCGTTTCTTAACAACGCGAAAAAGGAAACTGGGTCATTCATCTCAAAAACGCAAACAATTTTAGCGAAACTTGCCCGAGAGAACATGTATCCGAACATCTCTCAACCCAAAGAGCTTTTGAATCTTCTCTCAACTCAAAAAGCTTTTGAATCTACCCTCAACCCAGAGAGCTTTTGAATCTTTTGTGAATGGTCGCGTCCGTTTCCTTCCTATTTGCGTTCCTATTTTGCAATTATTCGCGTCGCATTTTTTTGTCTTTTTCTCCCTTCCCAAAATTATTTTTTTTTGGTTTACAGGTGGCTTTTGCTTTCTTTCGGGGGGACTTTGTTGTTTTTTTTTTAAGGCGCATGCTGTTTTTGTAATGGGTATTGTTGCATTCTGGTTTTGTACTAATAAACAGTGACGTTATAGATTCACTTTACTTTATGCTACCCTTCAGGTTTTAAATCCTGTTTAGATAACTGGTTTAACATTGTAGAGATACTGATTTTACTAACATTTGTTTCACCATCAATTCGATCTGTACTCTTCTCAAGAGCATTAATCTTATGTCGGATACTATGTGTTCTTTGGGAAAACCCTTTTAACCTTTTGTGCTATTCAGCCTTTTTTAAGCAGAATCATCGTTGATTAAAGGTTAAAGCTGGTCGCACCCTAATGAATGACCTAACGTAAATACTGTAATAGTACCCCCTCCCCATAATGACGGTGCGGAGCGTTGCGTAGTCTAGCTTTGAACGAGTTTTAGGCTTAGGCCCAGGTCCAGGCTTAATCAAGATCCTGGCCTGGACCAGGCTCCAGACCAAGTTCAGGCTAGATTTAGGTTAGGGTCAGTGCCAGCCTAGCCCAACTAGAAAAACCCTTTAGAACAACCCACCGTAAATACTGTAATAGTACAGCACCCCCATAATGACGGTGCGGAGTGTTGCGTAGCTCTAGCTTTGAACGAGTTTTTCTCGACACTGGTTTATGCTACAATGCTCGTTTAGGTATCAAAAAATAGCCCTGAATTTCAGCTATTTTTTGATACTAAAGACGCATTTTTTGAAAGTACGGGTGCTTTGCAAAAAAATGAAATACTAAAAAACATTTGCGACTACGCGACTGTACGAGGGGGGTGGGTACTATTACAGTATTTACGGTAACCAACCAAATTTAATTAGTAACTATTGGAGGCTGCGCTTCTATTAAAATAAACTTTTTCTTCGGATTGAAATCTGACTAAGTTAATTAAATAACTTTATAACAGCAATATTATTTTTAAAAAATATGACGACAAGACATTAAAACAAAGAAAAATGCAAAAAAAGAAACAGAAAGCTTTAATCTTTTGAATTAATCAAGTATGATAGCTGATTCAAAAACAAAACACAATCAAACAAACAAAAATTTGGGTTGACTAAGCTGGAAAAATTAAGCAAAAGAATTTGAACGTTTTTTTATCGTTCTCGTTCCTCTACAGCTAACGATCCTCGCGGCAACAAGCCAGATTTGATGTTGTCCAAATTTGCTTTTGACATTGACAATAGGTTTGGTCATCCTATTTTCGGTTTGTCTGGAAATCTGCAAAAAATGAAAGAAATCCATGGTGAATTAAGGCATGGTAAAGTCACGGGGATTTCAGATGCAACTTTGTATTCTTTCATAAATTCCAATCTCTATGTTTCTCGATTTTATTCATGATTTGATAAAAGTCAATGTTGCTAAAGCTTTTCTTTTCGAATCATCATGGAAGTGGCATCTTTGACTAAAAAGGGAATTTGAATGAAATCATTTCCAAAACTTTCCCACCTTCACCGTATCCACTCCCCACGAATCGGCGTACATTTGGAAATATTTCTCGCGTTCCTCGTGCGCTGAAAAGTTCATCTTCTCGCCGATAATTGATCGCAACTGAAATCAAAGGATTTTCCTTAATTAAATTGGCTAAAAAATAGATTTTCCGGACCAGATCAGGGCCAGATCCAGCCAGATCAGGCCAGATCCAGCCAGATCCAGCCAGATCCAGCCAGGGCCTCAGGCCAAATGATAAAATCGACTTTAAAAGTCTAAAGGAGATTTCCCCCAAGCCCCCTTTTCCTCTCAAAATCTAGCCCTTCCAGCCTGTGTGTGGTGGCGGAACGGTGAGGACGCTAGCACCGGGTGCAAATGGTCGGGGGTTCGAATCCCTCCGCTCAGACGTTTTGCTTTCTGATCCAAACCTTAAATATCTCGCCGATAATTGATCGCAACTGAAATCAAGCGATTTTCCTTAATTAAATTGATTTTAAAAAAAAAACTTTAAAAATCGATTTTCGACCAGATCAGAGCCAGACTCAGCCTCCTTCAATCACGCTGAAGCATGGGCATTATGATGGTCATTATGATGGCCATGATCGAATTCAGGTCATGTTATTACATTCTAGTCGTAAATTCTGCACTAATTCGATCTTGGAAGCGAACCCGGGATAGCTCAGTCGATCAGCCGACTAAGACACGGACGGCACATCGAGTACAAAGATATTTTGATGAAAATCAAAAATCCGAACCCTAATAATTCTAGTGTGATATCCAGATAGAAGCAAAAACGAATTATAAGTCGAATTGCTCTTGCCAATTTTTCGAAATAATCGCAAACTCTTTGCAGAGCTAATTTATAGACAGCTTAGAGTTATTTTGTTTTAATCTCATTTTTTCTTCTATCTGGATATCACACTAGAATTTTTAGGATTCGGTTTTTTTGATTTTCACCAAAACATTTATTTTTGCTGTTTCGTGTACCCTACTGGATCAGTTTCGTACATTTCTGGCTTTTAGTTTGGTAATGAGTCAGCTGACGAGCCAGGCCTAAGCCTTGGTTAAGTTTTTGAGCTAAAGTTTAGCAAGCAAGAGCTACTGGATCCCTGTTTTATTTCATCAATTTATGAAATGTTTCCCTGTTCCCAGAATCCCAATGATTTTCTCATTTTCATCAAAATCTTGAGTTTTCTTTTTTTTGAACCTATCAATTATTACTTAAATCAAAATTTGTACTCAAACAAACCTCAGGTTTTTCCTCAAAGATTACAGACTTATAACTGCCCATTAGTTTTTTTAATTCTTGTCGAAGAACTTCATGTACACACGTCGTTAAAAGCATTTGAAAAAAAATCTAAAAAAGAAATTTAGATTGATGTTTAATGTGAAATAGGAAAGGGTTACGGTAAAGAATTGGTCCTATTCTCCTAGGCCAAGGCCTTGGTTAAGTTTTAGAGCTCAAGTTATAGCAAGCAAGAGCTACTGGATCTCCTAAGTCCTATTCTAACTACCAGTAACTGATAATAGACCTTTGAGAAAACTGTACAAGTCGATCGTAACCCTACAGTACCTGTAGAATTGTCCAATAATAATATAATTGTGTCGTAAATTCAAAATAATAATACTCGATCTCAAAACAATAATAATAAAGGCCAAGAGAGAGGAAATTCGTCAACGTTTTCCAGGCAGAAATGTATTTAAGGAGATGTGCTGAGCGAAGATTTTCTGCTGTTTGATATCTAGAAATTCTTCAATACTTTTACAATATCTAGAAGTTATTAAAGACCTTTCAAAACCTTACTATTCAATACCTTATTCAATATCTTCACTAGAAGTTATTCAATAAAAACACAAGAGCTAAGCTAGTTTTAGGGAAATTTGAAAGCATTAAAGTAAATCCAAGGAATTCTTGTTTCATTTTGACATCTCGACTTCAAAGCTTTAAAAAAAAAAAAGAACTAGTTTACCTAGTTTAAAGACTCTAGGGTCTAGAATATGAGTACCGTTATTTTCTAGAGCGCTAGAACATGAATACGATCATTTTCTACACGATGCTCTTCCCAGAAAAGCTACCGTAATCTCTCAAGATGAACCATCCTTATTCCCTTCTTAAATTTTCTAAAATACTGTTATTCCATTCTTGCACAAGTTTGGTTACAATTTAGCATTAAAAATACACAGCTACTAATTGGAATAAACCAAGAAAACCCGGATTTCCCTTGAGAAAACCCGAATTTTCTTACTGATTGTCTATTTTTTATAAAAAAATTGATCAGACTTTGAAAATGAAATGTTTACCTTGCCTATAGATTGATTGGTTTATTATTAAATTTCCTGTTAGACAAGACTTTCCAACTATCAGGTTCTATCAGGCCTGGCGAAGACCTTGTTGAGTGCCGAAAGTTCTTTCTCATCAAAGTTGTAACATCCATCCAGACCTCCCCCCAAGATGACAACAAGTTTTACCTGTGCCGTCTCACAACTCGTCTCAAAACCTTGTTGTCATCTTGGGGGGAGGTCTTATCCTGTTCCTGTTCCTGTTCCTGTTCTTCTAGTTTTTTTTTTGGTTCTTAGTTCTTACTGATCTTCTAGTTCTTACTGATTGTCTATTTTTTGAAAAAAAAATCCATTAGACTTTGAAAATGAAATGTTTACCTTGCCGAAACTGTACAGTCTCTCATTTTCACTGTTTCTTTGAACAATCGCCTCGAGGTATACGGTAGGACAAGGAAAAATATAGCAGCTAGAGTGAAAAGAATTAAAATCACCAAATAGCTGTGCTCAGCGACAGTAATGTCTGAAATTTGACTTCAATTCTAAGCTTGAGTTGATCGGTTTGATATTTTAACCAATCCTGTGCAGATCAACGGGTACTGTAGAGCACTCTAAGGATTGTAGGGTTACAGTAATACAGCTACAGTACTCTTTACAGTCATACAGTACCCATTATAGTCTAATGATACTGTAGTTGATGTCTGGGTTATGCAGATTTCAAGAGATATTAGACTATTTGTTCACTATACAGACTGAAGGGTTTTAGGAGTATTGTAGCTGCAAAGTTCTGACTTTTCAAAGACTTTTTAACGTAGAATTTCACGCTGATTCCGAATCTGATTTCCGTTTTTGTCAAATCGCTTTCTATAAAAAGTTATACGTCTTTAAAGTTTTAGGGAGAAAAGGCGAGAATTTTGAGGGATGCCTTTATAATGACTTTCTCAAAGGGGCTCAGCGTGGGCGGATGGTCTAGTGGATAAGAGGCTTGCGTACAAAACGAGCAATCCTTTTTTCTGGTCGAGTTCGATTCCTTTTTGGAAAAACTTTATTAGACCTGAATTTTATGTTTACAGAAACGGAATCAGTGGAATTCTGCTTTGAATGGTCAATGGCTTATCCCATTTGGTCGCATCCAACAGCTCTTGTTACTAAGAAATCTGATTTTCAATAAACTTACGTAAATCTCTGAGAGCACACAAAATGAAAGCGATTAAAGCCTAAAAAATCGAATTGAATATGTTAAAAATGAAAGCTTACAATCAAAATATACAAACAGATTCCGAGAATCGGAAATTCTTGATGAATGTGATCGTATTTTTCGGGGTACAGCGTCGCATACAAGCGCTCGATCGAGATCGGCAACATGATCGTCGTGGCTTGGATTAGAACTGGAAATTGTTTACTGGAGTAGGCCGACAGTACTGTAGGAGTGCTATAGCCATTCTGGAGCACTGGAGCATTGGATACCGTAGCTATAGTGCATAGCACAGGGGTACTGGGCCCGACAAACAAGACTGTGGGGGTTACGGCGGCGGCTAAAGATCTGTACATCCTGCTTGAGATCTGTACATCCTCAGATTGAACTGTTTCGCTCAATCAAGTCGCTTTTTCAAGAAAACAAAATTCTTTCCAAGATATAGAATTTACGAAAAATACACTCAAATTTCAAAAATTGATCTCAAAAATTTGCGCAATTGATCCCAGATGAGATTTAAAGCTTAAAAAACTGTATGTGGCTTTAGAAATCGAGGGCAACGTTTTTAAATATGCTAATTTCATTCTACCGGTACCCCCCGGGGTACTGTAACTGGATAAAATTAGTATTAAACTACTTCTCTGAATCTTTGAAACTTTCAATGAGAAAATCGACTTTAAAAGTCTAAAGGAGATTTCCCCCAAGCCCCCTTTTAGTCGCGAAATCTAGCCCCCTTCGCGCGGCGGTTGGTGGCCGAGCGGTTAGCGTGCTAGCACCGGATGCAAGTGATTGAGGGTTCGAATCCGCCCCCAGTCAAACATTTTGCTTTTTGGTCAAAACCTTAAATATAATAGTATCTTAACATAGAACTATATTCTATTTCAGTACTTTATCTGCTACAAGCTCCCGCGCACTATCAATGGTCAAGTATCATAATTACCAATGAAAGTTAGTCCTTACGATCGTTTGATCTTTAGATTCACCGATACTGAAATATTTGAAGCCTAAATTGACGGAAATTGTTCAAATCTATCTGGGATTTGAATTTCAATCGTTTTTAAGTCCTCATAGAGTTATCATAGAACTATATTCTAGTTCAGTACTTTATCTGGTACAAGCTCCCGCGCACTATCAATGGTGGATCATAATAGCCAATGAAAGTGAGTTCTTACGATCGTTAGATCTTTCGATTCACCTATATTAAAATAAAAATTTACATAAAACTCACAACAATCGGATAAATTGCTAAAAATATCCTCGATCGTCTCACTCAACTTAAAATTGTACATTTGAAGAATGTTGTAGATGACATTTATGAGAATCACTGTCCAATGAAGAATTGGTTGAATGATTAACAAGAAACGGAGATTCGGATGGCAGAACTGGAAAAAAGGCTGATAAATGTTGAAAAGATGTTGATGGAAAGGCCAGATCTTTAGCTGCGATCTCGTTAACGAATCGAAACTTCTGAAACTTCTGAACTTACCATTTTTGACCTGAGAATCCGAACATAAACAATGACAAAAGCCAGCAGGATTGGGCAAAATAAACATTCGCCTATCTAAAAATGTAATTTCGATTATTTTAATGATTTGCTTCAACTTTTTGATGGATCAAGTTTTACTAAATTTAGTAAACTTTCGTTTTGCGAAATTCAACAGGTCTACCAATGCATTTAGCTAAATTTAGATAAATTTAGCATTCCGAGAGGATCTAGTAATGCTGCCAGCTTCCGAGAAGATCTAGCAATGTTGGATCCGAGAAGATCTTTGCTAGGCATGCGTTTTAAATAAAGGCATTACTCGCGAGGCGATTGGATCCGTGTGGCAATAACACACTCTAATTGCCACACGGATCCAATTGCTTTCTATTCAACAGAGCTTAAGCTAGATTTGGCTTAAGCTAGCTTTCTGGCTAACTCAGAGAAATTTTGTGGACAAGTTCTGAGCATTTCTGAACATTTTGTGGACAAGTTCTGATCATAATTCAGGTCCTGAGCCTGCTTTACTACTCTAGATGGCTACTCTAGATGTCAGAGATGTCCGAATTCGAATCTAGACCTCTACACAAACATAAAGAACAAAACGATGACTAAGCGACACTCCAATAGATAGTTCATAGTACTGTAGTGATCTTTTTCTTCTTTGTATGCTGGATCTGGATCCGGAGTCAAAAGTCTTGAGTCCCTAATCCTGAGGCAAAAGAATTGATGTAACTTTTTCTAAGTTTCTAAGGTTTTTAAGGAAACAGTTTCATTACGATAGCTTTATTGCTAACAAAAACCAATTCTAGACTAAATACTGTAATCCAGCTAATCTAGACCGATCCAGAATACTGAATACCCATTCTATACTAAATACCGTAATCCAGCTAATCTAGACTGAATACCCACTCTAGAATAAATACCGTAATCCAGCTAACGTCGACTGAATACCTTATTCAAGGCCGAGTAATTTAAGCTACGCTGAATACCGTAATCCAGCTCATCTGGATCGAATAGCGATTCTACACTGAATACCGTAAACTGAATACCTGAATACCGTAATCCAATTCTGGAATAAATACCGTAAAAAAAAAGCAATCTTTAAATCAAATCTTTTCACAAAAACAACCCTCACCCTTAAAATAAAAACCGCTTTTACGGCGAAATACTTGGGCTTCTCCGTTGGCGCGAAAATTTCCGTCGTGTTCTCCATTTTCTGTAGAGAAATCTTCAGAAACCTATCTGATGAACAAAATGAATTGAGAAAATGAACAAAACTATACAAGAGAGCTTGAAAATTGAACCAAAAAAAGCATTCAAAGCCTTAATTAACCCCATCAAAATCTCCAATTTACTCATTTCTTCAGCAAATCTCTAATTTATTTCTAAATTATTAAGTAAACTTTGAAAATGATGAAGTAAAGAATTTCTGAAAACGGAAAAGAAATGAGAAAAAAATGAGTGAAAAATAGAATTATTAGAAAAGAGGCAGGTGATGTTTGAAGCCAAAATTGAAGGAAGAATTGTTCAAATGTACCTGGGATCTGATGTGTAATCGTTTTTAAGTCCTTACGATATAGTGCTTTCTACAATACCTAGAAGACTCATACTGCTTCCTATATTTTAAAATTGTATTCCCCTGGGTGTGGGTTCTCAGCCGGTCCTCCTACTCGACCCCTTTCTGGCAGCCGACGTGCTATGGGGGCGATATAAAGCACAAATTCTTGTTCAGCATCATGGCAGGGCTGGGTCCCGGCCTGAGACTCAGAAAAAGATGACTCTGACTCAGAAAAAGACTCGGTAAAATCCCATGGTGCGGCGTGCTTGCGTCGGTTGGAAGGATACACCATGGTAAGGCGCGGCTCCCGGGGTAAACCCTAGCCGAGTGACCCCCCGGCTTCCACCGTGGCACAGGGGAGGCGTAGGGGGGAAAATTACTATCCCCCCTGACTCATTCGATTCGGGGTACGGTAGTTTATCCACCAAGGAGCACGCTTTAGAAAACAGTACCTATGAGGGTACAGTAATCCGTTGATTGAATGCCGTGCGCTCCAGATCGACAAAAAATTTGAAAATATTTAGATTTTTAGGATTGAATTACCACTTTAAGGCCTTGTACTCGGTTCGGGGTACGGTACGGATGTAAAATGATCAGTTTTCTCTAGTTTTTCATTTTAGAACTCTATTGTGCGCTCCAGATCGACGAAAAATCTGAAAATAGTTGCATTTTTATCTTAAGATTAACAGTTTAAAGCCTTGAACTCGATTCAGGGTACGGTAGTTTATCCACCAAGGAGCACGCTTTAGAAAACGCTTTCCAGGGAACAGTTCTGAGATTTTGTGTACTAAGTAAATTGTGGTTTTCTATAACCATATTTAATGAGGATCATTTTAAAATCAATATCAAGTCGATTTGACAATTGGAAGTCGAGATATGAAGGAAAATCGTGAAAAAATCCAAATTGTGCACCGTTTAGAAAACTTCTAGTTTTTAAAAGGGAAAACTGTTTGATTTAGAAAAACGAAAATTGAAAACTCGTTTATTTTTAGTGAAATTTTCTGTACCCGATTTTTTGCTTACAATTAAAATTAAGTCCCTTGAGGAAGCTTTTTTCACAAAAAATACTTCAAATTAAATGTTATTTATATGTAAATCCTATTGAAAACTTCCTATTTTCTATCATTTTTTTTAAAAATTCTTTTATTTCTTTACCACTTTTCAATCGGAATGAAGGAAATCTGTACCAAAAAAAAAAAAAAAAAAAAAAATTTAAATTCAAAAAACCTAGCTATAATTGGGATTGAGAGATCAAAAATCGTGTAAATTTGTTTAAATTATCAAGAAAAATCACATATTTGATAGGTTTTAAAAAGAAAAATTTGAAAATTTAACAAAAAAATGATAAAATTTTGTTTCAAAAAGGCACAGTGAAAAATGAAAATCGAAAATTTACTTTTTGCTAACAGAGACGAAACGCGAAACTTCTAGCGCATCGAATTTTTTGCTTTTTAAGCATTCTATTTTATATAGAATTTAGCTGCTGCTGCGTGGGAAAGCCGGCGTTTACGGTGAGCACAAAGTACACTTCGATTCAAGCAGGCACATTTTTGATGAAATTGATCGAATTGAATATGTTAAAAATGAAAGCTTACAATCAAAATATACAAACAGATTCCAAGAATCGGAAATTCTTGATGAATGTGATCGTATTTTTCGGGGTACAGCGTCGCGTACAAGCGCTCGATCGAGATCGGCAACATGATCGTCGTGGCTTGGATTAGAACTGAAAATTGTTTACTGGAGTACACTGACAGTATTGTAGAAGTGCTATAGCCATTCTGGAGTACTGGAGTATTGGATACTGTAGCTATAGTGCATAGCACAGGGGTACTGGGCTTGACAAAAAAGACTGTGGGGGTTACGGTGACTGTAAAGACCTGTACATCCTGCTTTGGTCAAATTGAACTGTTCCTGATTGAACTGCTCAATCAAGTCGCTTTTTCAAGCAACCAAATTCTTTACAATCTCTAGAATTTACGAAAAATACACTCAAATTTAAAAATTGACCTCAAAAATTTGCGGAATTCATCCCAGAAGCTTAAAAACTTTATTTGGCTTTAGAAATCGAGGGCAACGTTTTCAAATATGTAAATTTCATTCTACCAGTACCCCCAGGGTACTGTAACTGGATAAAATTAGCATTAAACTACTTCCCTGAATCTTCAATGATAAAATTGACTTTAAAAGTCTAAAGGAGATTTCCACCAAGCCCCCTTTTAGTCTCGAGATTTAGCCGTGTCCCGACTGTGTGTGGTGGTCGAGCGGTTAGTGCGCTATGCACCGAGTGCGAGTGGTCGAGGGTTCGAATCCGCCTGCGGTCAACCATTTTGCTTTTTGGTCGAAACCTTCAATATAATAGTATCTTAATGTAGAACTATATTCTAGCGCAGTACTTTATCTGGTACAAGCTCCCGTGCTATCTGCTACAAGCTATCAATAGTCAAGTATCATAACAGCCAATCAAAGTTAGTGCTTACGATCGTTAGATCTTTAGATTCACCCATACTGAAATAAAATTAACATAAAACTCACAACAATCGGATAAATTGCTGAAAACATCCTCGATCGTCTCACTCAGCTCAAAATTGTACATTTGAAGAATGTTGTAGATGACATTTATGAGAATCACTGTCCAATGAAGAATCGGTTGAATGATTAACAAGAAACGGAGATTTGGATGGCAAAACTGGAAAAAAGGCTGATAAATGTTGATAAATGTTGAAAAGATGTTGATGGAAAGGCCAGATCTTTAGCTGCGATCTCGTTAACGAATCGAAACTTCTGAAACTTCTAAGCTTACCATTTTTGACTTGAGAATCCGAACATAAACAATGACAAAAGCCAGCAGGATTGGGCACAATAAACATTCGCCTATCTAAAAATGTAATTTCGATAATTTTAATGATTTGGTTCAACTTTTGGATGGATCAAGTTTTACCAAATTTAGTAAACTCTCATTTTGCAAAATTCAACAGGTCTACCAATGAATTTCGTTGAATTTAGCTAAATTTAGCTAAATCTAGCATTCCGAGAGGATCTAGCTTGCTGCCAGAGGATCTAGCATGCTGTCAGAGGATCTAGCATGCTGCCAGAGGATCAGCAATGCTGCCAGAGGATCAGCAATGCTGTCAGAGGATCTAGCATGGATCTAGCATCTAAGCATGGATCACCAGAGGATCTAGCAATGCTGCCAATGCTAACTTTTGGATGGAAGTTTTTAAGGAAACAGTTTCATTACGATCGCTATATTTCTAACTTACTTTGGTAGAGCATCAAAATGACTTAAAGATAAAGATCCTTATCTAACTTATCCTTACCTTAAATATAAAGATCCTTAGCCTAAGTCTAAGCTTAAGGCTAAGCCTAAGCCTAAGTCTAACCCTAAACCTAACCCTAAGCCTAGCCTGAGCCTGAGCCTGAGCCTAGCCTAAGCCTGAGCCTAAGCCTAAGCCTAGCCAAAGCAATCTTTAAATCAACTTACTTTGGTAGATCAAAATCAAAATGACTTAAAGATAAAGATCCTTATCTAACTTATCCTTACCTTAAATATAAAGATCCTTAGCCTAAGCCTAAGTCTAAGCTTAAGGCTAAGCCTAAGCCTAAGTCTAACCCTAAACCTAACCCTAAGCCTAGCCTGAGCCTGAGCCTAGCCTAAGCCTGAGCCTAAGCCTAAGCCTAGCCAAAGCAATCTTTAAATCAAATCTTTTCACAAAAACAACCCTCACCCTTAAAATAAAAACAGCTTTTACGGCGAAATACTTGGGCTTCTCCGTTGGCGCGAAAATTTCCGTCGTGTTCTCCATTTTCTGTAGAGAAATCTTCAGAAACTATCTGATGAACAAAATGAACAAAACTATACAAGAGAGCTTGAAAATTGAACCAAAAAAAGCATTCAAAGCCTTAATTAATCCCATCAAAATCTCCAATTTACTCATTTCTTCAGCAAATCTCTAATTTATTTCTAAATTATTAAGTAAACTTTGAAAATGATGAAGTAAAGAATTTCTGAAAACGGAAAAGAAATGAGAGAAAAATGAGTAAAAAATAGAATTATTAGAAAAGAGGCAGGTGATGTTTGAAGCCAAAATTGAAGGAAGAATTGTTCAAATGTACCTGGGATTTGATGTGCAATCGTTTTTAAGTCCTTACGATATAGTGCTTTCTACAATACCTAGAAGACTCATGTGGGTGGGTGGGTGTGGGTTCTCAGCCGGTCCTCCTACTCGACCCCTTTCTGGCAGCCGACGTGCTATGGGGGCGATATAAAGCACAAATTCTTGTTCAGCATCATGGCAGGGCTGGGTCCCGGCCTGAGTCAGAAAAAGACTCGGTAAAATCCCATGGTGCGGCGTGCTTGCGTCGGTTGGAAGGATACACCATGGTAAGGCGCGGCTCCCGGGGTAAACCCTAGCCGAGTGACCCCCCGGCTTCCACCGTGGCACAGGGGAGGCGTAGGGGGGAAAATTACTATCCCCCCTGACTCATTGACAGCAGCAGGGATAGGCAAGAAGTACCCCCTGCCTCCTGGTCTATAATTCCTGTGAAAGTGTGTGTGTATTTTTTGCATTTTTGGCGGCGGCCAATTTTCTTCGCTTCTTCGCAATTTTTAGATAGAACAATTATCTGCAAGATCATCAGTGTTTTACATTTTAGAATTAACTCCAGATCAACGAAAAATATAGCAAAATTTGCATTTTTATAATAAAATTGACAGTTTAAAGCCTTGAACTCGATTCGGGGTACGGTAGTTTATCCACCACCAAGGAGCACGCTTTAGAAAACAGTACCTATGAGGGTACAGTAATCCGTTGATTGAATGCCGTGCGCTCCAGATCGACAAAAAATTTGAAAATATTTAGATTTTTAGGATTGAATTACCACTTTAAGGCCTTGTACTCGGTTCGGGGTACGGTACGGATGTAAAATGATCAGTTTTCTCTAGTTTTTCATTTTAGAACTCTATTGTGCGCTCCAGATCGACGAAAAATATGAAAATAGTTGCATTTTTATCTTAAGATTAACAGTTTAAAGCCTTGAACTCGATTCAGGGTACGGTAGTTTATCCACCAAGGAGCACGCTTTAGAAAACGCTTTCCAGGGAACGGTTCTGAGATTTTGTGTACTAAGTAAATTGTGGTTTTCTATAACCATATTTAATGAGGATCATTTTAAAATCAATATCAAGTCGATTTGACAATTGGAAGTCGAGATATGAAGGAAAATCGTGAAAAAATCCAAATTGTGCACCGTTTAGAAAACTTCTAGTTTTTAAAAGGGAAAACTGTTTGATTTAGAAAAACGAAAATTGAAAACTCGTTTATTTTTAGTGAAATTTTCTGTACCCGATTTTTTTTGGCTTACAATTAAAAATAGTCCCTTGAGGAAGCTTTTTTCACAAAAAATACTTCAAATTACATGTTATTTATATGTAAATCCTATTGGAAACTTCCTATTTTCTATCATTTTTTTTAAAAAAATCTTTTATTTCTTTACCACTTTTCAATCGGAATGAAGGAAACGTGTACCAAAAAAAAAAAAAAAAAAATTTCAAATTCAAAAAAACCTAGCTATAATTGGGATTGAGAGATCAAAAAATCGTGTAAATTTGTTAAATTATCAAGAAAATCACATATTTGATAGGTTTTAAATAGAAAAATTTGAAAATTTGACCAAAAAAAAAAATGATAAAATTTTGTGTCAAAAAGGCACAGTGAAAAATGCAAATCGAAAATTTCCTTTTTGCTAACAGAGAAACGCGAAACTTCTAGCGCATCGAATTCCCTGCTTTTTAAGCTTTTCCTTTATTTTATATAGAATTTAGCTGTTTGGTGCTGCTGCGTGGGAAAGCGTGCGTTTACGTGAGCACAAAGTACATTTCGATTCAAGGAGGCACATTTTTGATGAAATGGATGGGAAAACACGTAGAAAAACCAAATAGAAACTGTAAGATATTCAAACAATAAGATAATAATTCTTTAAGAAAACAAAAAACAATAACAAAATGATCAATTTTAACATGAAATTTTGATAATTTTGATAATTTGACAATTCGCTAGGCTTGGCTTGAATTTTTTTTGCTTTCCTTTGCTTTTCCTTTTCTTTAGTCTAGCTTTAAAATCATAATACTAAGGTTATATAGTATTTAAGGCCATTGCTAAGCTTTGAATATGTCATTAGAATCAAGAAAATCAATAATTTCAACCAAAAATATCAAAATATCCATCAAAAAAACACGGGGAAGAGCTATTCCAACTAGTAGTGTTCTGACAATTAAATAGTGAAGAAAGCAATCAATTTGGAAGAAACAAGTAGTACTAAATCCTAGAAATACTGCCTATTTGTTTAAAAAAAAGATTACTGACTTGTTTCATACCAAATTTAGCTTTTAAATTGAGAAAAATCACAAAATAATCAAAGAAGAAAAGTGAAAGGAATGTTTAAGAAAGAGGTGTTTTTTTGTTTTAGATCCTCAATTCTTACAAATCCAAATTGGTGAGTTTCCCGTGATCGACTAATGGCTTCACTCCTTGTTCTTTCTGTTGTTGATTCTCTTTTCGTTTGTTGAGAAAAGGAATGGTGAAAAGCATTAAGCCAGAGACAGCCAAATTGATTCCACAAAAGACGAAAGCTGGGTGATAGGAGCCTGTCAAATCAGCAAGATACCCGGAGATTGGTGGGCCGAAAACGGTGCCGATTCCCTGGAAATGGAATAGTTTAGACTTTTAGGACCACTGCAGGCTTTCTACAGTACCTAGAAGACTCATAATGCGTTCTACAATACCTAGAAGACGCATAATGCTTTCTACAGTACCTAGAAGACTCAGAACGTTTTCCACAGTACCTAGAAGACTCATAGTGCTTTCTACAGTGCCTAGAAGACTCATAATGCTTTCTACAGTACCTAGAAGACTCATAATGCTTTCCACAGTACCCAGAAGACTCATAGTGCTTTCTACAATACCTAGAAGACGCATAATGCTTTCTACAGTACCTAAAAGACTCATAGTGCTTTCTACAGTACCTAGAAGACTCATAATGCGTTCTACAATACCTAGAAGACGCATAATGCTTTCTACAGTACCTAGAAGACTCAGAACGTTTTCCACAGTACCTAGAAGACTCATAGTGCTTTCTACAGTGCCTAAAAGACTCATAGTGCTTTCTACAGTGCCTAGAAGACTCATAATGCTTTCTACAGTACCTAGAAGACTCATAATGCTTTCCACAGTACCCAGAAGACTCATAGTGCTTTCTACAATACCTAGAAGACGCATAATGCTTTCTACAGTACCTAAAAGACTCATAGTGCTTTCTACAGTGCCTAAAAGACTCATAGTGCTTTCTACAGTGCCTAGAAGACTCACAATGCTTGCTACAGTATCTAGAAGATTCACAACGCTTTCTACAGTACCTAGAAGACTCATAGTGCTTTCTACAGTGCCTAGAAGACTCATAATGCTTTCTACAGTACCTAGAAGACTCATAATGCTTTCCACAGTACCCAGAAGACTCATAGTGCTTTCTACAATACCTAGAAGACGCATAATGCTTTCTACAGTACCTAAAAGACTCATAGTGCTTTCTACAGTGCCTAGAAGACTCACAATGCTTGCTACAGTATCTAGAAGATTCACAACGCTTTCTACAGTACCTAGAAGACTCCTAGTGCTTTCTACAGTACCTAGAAGACTCAGAACGTTTTCCACAGTACCTAAAAGAGAAAGCAGGCTTAGGATGTGCTTCTCTCACTAATCCATTTTCTAAAAGCCATCTATTTTCGAAAATTATCTTACTCTGGCTTCCAGTTTTCATTCAAACACTCCAAATTTTCACATCATTCACTGAGTTTTGTGATCCCTCATCAAATTGATATCAAAATTTGACTGATCAAATGAAAAGCGCCAGGTTTGAGTACGATAGTTTTCGAAAATAAGTGATTTTTAGAAAATCGTTGAAAGTAGAAAATTTACCTGGAACAGAAGCAGCAATCCGAAAGCATTCGTCAACTTTTCCAAGCCCAACAAATCGACAAGGATCACCGATGTCAAGCAAACGTATGAGGAGATGCTGAAATTTGTTTAGTACACTAATCTGCGCCAAAACTCGGTAGTTTAAGCATTGAAAAAGTCAAATTTTTCACTGACCTAAACCCGAAGAGACCCGCGTAGACGCAAAGTTGAATGAAACCGTTGAAGAAGTACGAGCAAGCGGTGAGAATTCCGCAGAACTGGAAAAGTCAAATTGGTAGATTTCAGTTGATCAACTTGACCCATTCTTGGATCAATTTGGCCAACGAATCAAGGATCTAAAATACTCACCGTCAATGAGAGGTTATAGATCCAGAGGCGATTCCGGGCCGGATCTTTCCCCCATCCGTACGGCAATGGCAGCTCTCGATCACCGATCAATCCGAACACCAAACGACCAGCTGTGTTTGTGATTCCTGAAACGTTTTTGTTACAGATTTTTCTTTAGTTTTGATAAGTTTATTCGTAGATCTTCTTACGCTACTAAATAGTAGACAAGGAAAAATGTAAACAGATATTCAAGGAAACAAATCTAATCTTTCCGGTTAGGTTATCGGAAATTTGAAAAAACCCCTTTTTCCATTAACAATCTAACTTTAAGCTCAAATTTCTTGGTGTTGGGTTGTCGAATTTAAATATTCTAGGTCTCATTGGATTCGCCAAGTCTTTCTCTATCGATTGGTGCAAAAACTCTTTAAATTGAACAGCTCAACACGGAGAAATTTGAGCTCAAAGTTTGCCAATGGGAAAAGGGACGGGGCCACTGTGAGACCTTTTACACGCGCCCCGCCCCGCCCCTTTTACCATTAACAATCTAACTTTAAACTCAAATTTCTTGATGTTGGGATGTCGAATTTAAATATTCTTGGTTTCATTGGAATCGTCAAGTCTTTCTCTATTGATTAGTACAAAAACTATTAAAGTTGAACAGCTCAACACCAAGATATTTCAGCTCAAAGTTAGATTGCCAATAGTAAAGGGGCGGGGCCACTTTGGCGACGGACCTTTTATACGCGCCCTGCCCCCTTTTCCCATTAACAATCTAACTTTAAGCTCAAATTTCTTGGTGTTGCGATGTCGCATTTAAATATTCTTAATCTCATTGGATTCGCCAAGTCTTTCTCTATCGATTGGTGCAAAAACTCTTTAAATTTAACAGCCCAACACCAAGAAATTTGAGCTTAAAGTTAGTTTGCTAATGGTAAAGTGAGCGGGACGTGTATCAAATTTCCGATAAATTAACCGGAAAAACTAGATCTTGTAATCTACATCTAGACCCACCAAAAGTCGTGATGGCCAACGCAGCATCCGTCGATGTGAGTCCCAAGCCTTTCTCTCCATGAATCGGCAAGAAGTACAAAGGAGAATTGAAGCCGACCGATGTCATCAAATTGGAAATGGCAAAGAGAAGGAAGGGCACCTCGGTGAGAAGGGAAAGGTTCAACATACGGGAGATCACTCTGAAAATGAAAATGAAAACAGTAAAATGACATTCTTTAGCCGATCCCGCCCACCAAAAATCCCCTAAGCTCAATAGAAACTAGGGCTAGACCTGATTTTTGGCTGAGCTTTGCCCTTGCCTAATCTGAGCTGGCTTGGAAAATTGGTTTAAGCACTGTCAGTCCAGGTATATTGAAACATCCTTACTCATAGCTTGGTTTAGTTTAACTCTAACATGCTTTAACAGGCTGTGGTATGACTTGGTCTCAAAATTTTAAGTCTGGAATCAGCTCAGATCACCTCAGGTCAGATCTACAAAACAAGAACTATGCGAAAAACAAACTGACTCTAAAATATTCTCATCTCTTGCCGCCATCTCTTCCGTGACCGCCTGATGAATTGAGGTGATTGATCTAAAGATTTCTGTTATCAAAATGTATCCAGAATGTTAGTAATTGGCCTCAAGATGAACAAGAAAAAGACTCAGAGCATGAGGAACGCATGGTGCCCACCTGGAGAGATCAAGCTGGAAGGTCAACCACTAGAAGAAGTCACCTCCTACACCTACCTCGGAAGAAGCATCAACATGGAGGGAGACCTAAGACCAGAAATCGCCAGAAGAAGACGAGCAGCCTGGACAGCACTAGGAAGCATCAAAGAAGTCACAAAGATACTCAAGAATCACCAGAGAACTCGGGCAGACCTCTTCGACAGCACCATCCTCCCGGCACTCTGCTACGGGACAGAGATCTGGGCCACGACACAGACCACTGAATGAGCCCTGAGAACGACGCATCGAGCCCTTGAAAGGAACCTCCTCTGGCATAACAGCTCGACCAAGACCTAAGAAGTACGGATATGCGCCAGCTCTCGGGACTCAGAGATCCAGTGGAAGTGATCGAGGGAAGAAGACTTAGATGGGCCACGTGGCCAGAAGAACAGACGACAGATGGACGATACGGATCACAGTGGCTACCAGAGTGGCTACCACGAGACTGAGAACGACGCATCGAGCCCTTGAAAGGAACCTTCTCGGGCACAATAGGAAGACGCAGCTCGACCAAGACCTAAGAAGTACGGATATGCGCCAGCTCTCGGGACTCAGAGATCCAGTGGAAGTGATTGAGAGAAAAAGACTCGGATGGGCCGGCCACGTAGCCAGAAGAACAGACGACAGATGGACGATCACAGAGTGGCTACCACGAGACCAGAAGTGGCCCATCCGAAGACCAGCAACGAGGTGGAGCACAAGAGTGACAGAGACGGTCAGAGAAAGGATGGCTGGAGTGCAACCACCACCAGCACCAGCAAGTCGAAGACTTCGAACCAGGAACAATCAAGCTAGGAAACACTGGATGACAATAGCAAGGGATAGAGAAATGTGAAAGCAAGTTGTGATCTGCGCAAAATAGGAACACCTGAGTGCGAAGACAGATCAAAAACAAAAAAAAAATCCAGAATATTAGTAATGTTAGTTAATAAAAGCAAGAAAGTCAATTAAAATTTTCATTTCCTCACCGAACTTTATCGGGATTCTCTTTGAACTCAGAAACATTGTGAATCGATCCCATATAGAAAACGTCTTTCTTCTGAAGATACCCGGTGGACGAAGTGACCGTACCCGAGCTGAAAAAACGACACCAACCCGTAAACATTTGAATTAGTAGCGAAATTTGTTTTTCTTTGTCAGATTTTGATATTCAACTTGTTAGCTGAATATCGAAATTTGTTTTTCTTTGTCAAATTTTGATATTTAACTTGTTAGCTGAATATCTTTGATTGTATTTTGTTTTACCAATCCGTTTCCCAAGCAAAAATGTAATCGTTTTCTCAAAGAAAAAAAAAAAAAATAACCAACCGGCTTCTCCCTCTCAATCCATCACCGTTCACTTGACCCATCGAATTGGCGGCTCGCAATGAGAGTTTTGAGCCTTTCGCCGAGTTGGTTCCAGTCTAAAAATGAGAACAATAAAGCAATACTTTGTATTCAATGTAAACACACTCTTTCTGGTGCACTAGATCGATTTACAAATCTCTACAGTACACTATCATAATATGCTGAATAAAGTATGCTGAACAGGCTGGATTTCTTTCTAAAATACCCAGTTTGTTAGCTGAATACCGGAATTTTACTATTCACATTTTCCGGCCAGATTATCCGGAATTATTTGGATCTGGATCCGGATTCTAAATCATTGAGTTCACTGCCACTTTTTCAAACTTATAAGCAAATTTTTAAACCTTTAAATACCCAGCAAAATGCCGTTTTTCACAATTTGCATTTAACTTTTGCTTGCCGAGCATAAAAGGGGCGAAAAATGACAAAATTTCGATCTCTGTTAGGGAAATTTGAATTAAATGTGGCAGCATTTAAAAATAGGAAATAAAATTAGCATTCATCCGGATCCAGATTATCTGGTCTCCGATTTCGGATAGTCTTTTACTATCAGCTGTCTAAACTACAGCAATGACCGCAGTAATAATAAAACAGGGCTACTATAACTACTAAGGCTACTGTAACTAGTAGCTCTAGTAACTTTAGACAGCTAAGAAGCTAAGCTAAGCTAAGCTAAGCTAAGCTAAGCTAAGCTAAGCTAAGCTAAGCTAAGCTAAGCTAAAAGTACAGTAACTCAAAATCTTTGCTTACTCTACTTTTGATTCCAACTTACTCGATCAATCTGCGACGAGCTCGACGAGTGCGTTCTGATCCTTGGATCGTTTGGAGTCAAAAGAGCCGCATCTTCCTGAAATCAATTTCCCATTTAGTGTACTGGTTAGCATGCTCGGCTCTCGTTCCAGAAAACGCTGGTTCGAGTTCGCTCTTTGCTGCATTCAAAGGCATGCAATTAATGACCAAATTTTTCTCAACACAACGAAATTCTTGCAGAAAAATGTTTAAAAACGAGAAGAAAAAGCTATTGCACGACACATCTTTTTCATTTATGACTACAAACCATGATCCATGGGAGATTTCCAGCTCGAGAAACTTTTCCGTGCTAAATGGGTGGATGGAGAAAATTATTTGGGATTTTGACTGGACTTGACAGTAAATTTGAATCGAACAAATCGACAGGGACAGTTAAAACAATCTATTTAAAGAAACGGATAGATATTAAATCTCTAAAACATCTACAAATCGAGTCAAAATAGTCTATGTAAATTTATTGAGCTTCTTTTGGCATTTCTAACTGTAATACTGTACTGTACTGTACTTTAGGATAAAAATAATACAATAGGGATGTACATAGAAACCCTTTTTCTCACCTTTGTGTGCTCTGTCTCATCTCCTTTTTTCTCTTCTCCTTCCTCATCTTCTTCGTCTTTCTCATCAGCGCTGATGAATTGAAGAGGACGGAAAGTGGCACCACAAAGAGTACAGAAAAGGATCACTCCTGAAATTTAAAAATCATTGTTTAATTATAAAGTATTTCCTTCTCTTTCTTCCTTTCTCTTCTCTCTTCTATTTCCTCTTCATTCTCCGGCAAGAAGATACAGGATAGCTCAGTGGTTATAGCATCTGCCCGGAAAGCAAAACAGATCGAGGATTCAATCCCCTCTCCGAAAACCTTTCTTTGGCATTTCTTACTTTACTTTACTGGCCAGGGATGTTGACCAAAACCAATCATTCCATGACTGACTACTAGGTTTGGCTTACTATCAGAGATCTGATTCTGATCTTGACCTGTCCCTGCCATGTTTTAAACCAGTAAACGAGACTTACCAGTAAACGACAAGAAAACAGCTCTCCATCCAAAATATTTGATCACTCTCTCATTAATCGGCCCGAACAAAGCCGATCCAACACCCGCTCCACACACTGTGATTCCTGTAGCCAAAGCGCGACGTCTGAAAAGTGTGATGCCTTTAGAGAGCTAAGAATCTTGTTAGAGTCAGTGATTCGCTTAAAAGCGGTGAGTTTACTAGTGGTAAATTTTGAGGCTTACTGTAAAATAGAGTTTGAAAACGAATGGTAAACTTTGAGAGTGAGAATAGGTGAAAATTAACTCTGCGTTGCTTCTCTGACTGTCAGATATGAAAAACTGGAGTTTTTCAAGTTAGTGGAATGGGTTTATGTATGTTACAACTATCAATGTGTTCTGTTTAAAATTTTCAAGACTCACTTCTCAAAGTACATCGTCACAATGACAATCGCCGGACAATACATTAATCCAAAGCCGATTCCCATCACGATTCCGACGGTGAACGTAATGAAACCCATCGATGTCGCGAAGTAAGAGGCCAAGCAACTAAAAGAAAGGTCTAAAGGTGTGCATTTTAAAGGTTTATATCTTAAAGTATGTCAAATTACTACAATAAGAATGGCTACAATAACCCAAAAGACCTCGTTGTTAGCCAAGAAACGAAAATCTTTTAATTTTTCAACAAAAGCTGAGCTATTCAGTCTTATTAGCTAAATATCTATTCTAGATTTAAAAATTTGAATATATTTCAATATCTTAAAGTCAAAACCCACCCAACCGAAGCGATACACGAGCCGATGATCGACGCTATCCGACAGCCGAACTTGTTCGTGATCGCCGACGCGATTGGGCCTGAATTTACAAATATTCTACATATTTAGATCTATAATTATCTAGCTTATAATATTTTAGATATAAAATCCTATTTGAATCCTATTTGAATCCTATTTAAAGGCTAATTTTTCTCACCTGAACCCAGCGTGAGTCCGGTGAGCAACGCAATGATCAGCGCCGCCGCCGCGTTGTCCGTTTTGAATTCCTGGAAAAATTTCATATTTAGAATGTAAATTTAGATATTTAATGTTTAAATTTAAATATCTGGATAATGGTTTTAGTTTTTTTATAAAGTACCTTTTGCAAAACGTCCACCAAAATACCAAACGAGTAGACGAAACCGTCAGCGATCACGTGGATAAGGAAAGAGCCGAGGACGACCATCTGAACAATTTTTAGTAATAGAATAGCTAATTACAGATAAAATTTGATAATTAACATTATGTACATATCTTTTTTCATCTAAATATCGCCATTCTTAAAGATTAAATCTTAAGTATACAGGTTGGAAATAGGCATAAGCACAAGATCTGAATTTAAACCGGGAATTGTCAAAATTAAACCCGAAGTGATCAAATCTAGCTTTTTTTGATCCGAAATGATCCGAGCCGGATTTTTGAAGCTCCACCCAACTCGGATTAGATTCTAATACACCCGTTGAGCTCCGCTATTACTTTCAGAACCCTAGAGAAAGATTTTTTTTACCCAAAGTGCTCATTACAGGATGCCGCATATCTAGTGTTGCGCTTAATTCATCTTTTTGACTTTCTAAGACAATACATTAACCTAAATAAAATAATCATAAAATCTACGCGTAATTTTACATAGACTAGAAGAACAATAACATTTTTAGTGACTTTGACAACCTTAGCCGAGCAGTACAAAAAATGCTAACGGTAAGCTGCTGAAAAAAGTTAAATTCGAGTTTTTGGTCTCTAAAAATCATCTTTTTCCGTCTTTTTTTTTGCATTAATACGTTTTTAGACTTAATTCCTATAAAAATAGGGCTTTTTGAGCTACATTATTGCAAATGCGAGCTTATCTTAGCTAACAAAAATCGACACATTTTGACAGATTTAATTTTTTCACGTTTAAAGTCTTATAGGAAACGAATAAAGTTTAAAATTTTTACCCAAACTCATGAATCTAGTGAAAAAATGTCCGTAGATTTTAAATATCTAAACAAAAAAAATTGTAAACTCTTGGTTTTTGAGAAAATCATCTTTTTGTAAAGCGCAACACTATATATTGGCATCCTCTATATGCTCAAAAATGCTTTTTATCAACAAAAAAACTTTCTATACAATATTCGACTAACATAGAACATAGAAATGCTAACTTATTCGCTTTGGCTAACTTATTTAGCTACTTTGGCGTTTCCGAATCTTTTTGAATCAAAGGTGCACGTTTTAAAGCCAATTTTGATAGCAACTTCAATGTGTTGCTCTAATATTTGACATGAAAATGTGATAAAGCTAAATGTGTAGCGTATGCGTACTAGTTAATTGCGTACTTTATACAGCTAATTGTAAGTACAGTCGACTCTCTCTTTAACGGGATGGAAGGGACCAAAAAATGTTTCTGTTATATAGAGTGCCGTTTTATATAGCTTAGCGTCGGTCGGGATCAAAATTTCACTCCGTTATATAGTTTTCCGGTATATAGATTCCCGTTATCGAGAGACTTTCTATACAATATTTGGCTAACATAGAACATAGAAATGCTAACTTATTTAGCTTCCTTGGCATTTCTGAATCTTTTTGAGTCAAAGGTGCACGTTTTAAAGCCAATTTTGATAACAACTTCAACATGTTGCTCTAATATTTGATATGAAAATGTGATAAAGCTAAATATGTAGCGTATGCGTACTTTATATAGCTAATTGTAAGTACAGTCGACTCTCTCTTTAACGGGATGAAAGGGACCAAAAAATGTTTCCGTTATATAGAGTGCCGTTTTATCTAGCTTAGTGTCGGTCGGGACCAAAATTTCACTCCGTTATATAGAGTTTTCCAGTCTATAGATTCCCGTTATAGAGAGAGTCGACTGTCTAAATCAATTTAATATTTAATTAATAACACCCACCCATCCCCATCCTCCATCGGGCACAATCGGAATGCGATTTCCGGTGATTTTCGGCGCAGCACCCGTTCCACCCATTTCTTTTCACGAATTTCTAAAATATTTCAATATTATTGATAAACAGAAATGAAATTTTTTTGAAAACGATAAAAATCTGAAGGAAAAAACAAGTCCATCACCAATAGCAACAAACTTTTGAGGATAAAAATGAAGAGAACAAAGAAACAACTACGAAATAAGCAGAAAAAAAGTTTTTTTCAGCATTTTACAGCTAAAAAATGAGATTTTTGAGTTTTTAAACGTAAAATATTCAATTTCTTGACTCAAATGAGTCAATCTTTGAAAGCTTTTTGCAGAGGTGTTGCCTTTATTTGAAAAAATGGGAACTTAAGCCGAAAGGCATGCCTAAAATGAGAAAAAAAGACAAAAAAGGTGAGCTGATAAGGAAAACCCTTGTGAAAAAACCTTTCTGTGCTAAAGATTCGAAAAATTTGCAATGGACAGTGAGTCCAGTTTCTTCTATAGAACAGTTGAATAAGTCAAAATCAGGTAAAAATTTGTCCGGATCTAGAGCTAAAGTCTTGGTAGCCTGGAGGTGAACGTTTTTCTAGAAACAGAAATAGGATATAGAAATAGGATATAGAAATAGGATATAGAAATAGAACAAAGAAATAGAATATAGAAATAGGATATAGAAATAGGATATAGAAATAGAAATAGAATCGACAACTTGCGCTAGCTTTGCCTAGTTTGCTTATTGTGGCTAGCTCTGGCCTGGCATAGCATAGCATAGCATAGCATTTGTCAGACCTTACCCTATGACTTTACTGCTTAATCTATCTGAGCTTGCAGACTCGGTAATTGGAACAATGAGATTTTTGAGTTTTTCAACTGAACATTAAATATTAAAACATTAAAACATTAAATGGACTCAAATGAGTGCTTGGCTTCTGGTTGGCTAGCTTACAAGCTCTAGGGATCAAAAAAAGTTCTTAGGAGGTGCTAGCAAAAGCGCCAAATATTTTACGCTTCGGATCATTCGCGCCTTGTATCATTTGCGCCAAATTTTTTACGCCTCGTACCATTTGTGCCAAATTTGCGCTTTTCAAGACACTTTCCTACCAACTCTATTTGTTTATTTTTATTTTTTTACTACTTTTTCTCGTCGACAACTACTTTGACGCCTTCACCGGATATAAAAACAGCATAAAATCGATTAAAAAAAGAGCAAAAAGCCCAATCGGTGACAGAAAAATGACTTTTTTTAGGCCTATTTAGGTATTTAAACGTGTTTTCTAATTGAAAACGATGTAAATTAAAATTCTAAAGCAGAAAAATGAAAAAAAGTTGATTAGAAGTTAGGAAAAAGTGATTTATTAAAATGATTTGTTAAAGTTATTTGTCAAAGTGATTTTCATAAGCGTAAATTTGGTGCTAATGAAACTGGCGCAAAGGATTTTGACGCAAAAAACGCAGCGCTTTTGCTAGCACCACATACTCGTACAATTTGCGCCAATTTTTGGACCTAAACTGGACCTAACCTGGACCTAACTTGACTTGCTTATCGGTCGTTCCTGTTTTAAACGATTCTAAAGCTTGAAACATAATTTTGTCCGACTGTCGTGGCCGGATTGATTCTTTGTCTCAAGTTTTTTTTTTAAAGTTCTATAAAATAAACTAAAGAACAGACACAGTCAACTTTACTTTCTAAATCTGAAAAAAATCTAACTTTTCAGCTTCAGAAAAATAAAAAAAGAAAGCAATAAAGGCAAGAAAAAGCAAAAAACTTTTTCAAGAATTCATTGAAAAAGTATTAAAAGCAAAAACGTTTTAGAATCTCGTATACATGAAATTTCGTGTATCGATACATGACAGTTGAGCTGATAACCCTTGTCCTTTTTCGGGTTATCAGCTCTTTTTCTACGTCTTATTTAGAATGATTTAGAGTCGAGAAAACAGAAAATACATAGAAAATAGGGAAATTAAAAGTGTAGGCGTTTCTAGTCTGAGATGGGGGAAATATTTGTTTTAGAAATTTTCAAAGTTCTACTTTTTGACAAATTTTTACTTCTTGACAATCAAAAATCAATAAAATATATGAAAAGGCAAGTTTTGGTGCCTAGACAATAGCAATATCGAGGTTTTCTTTTTGATTTTGAGAAAAGGAAAGAGATTGAGGTGTGTCCAGTCAAAAAGGAGACTCGTCTATAGTGTAAGAACTCTGGGAAAGAAAAGAAAAGGAAAAAGGAAAGAGATCACCCCATTCCTTGTAACTAGATTCAAGAATTTAAATGCTATTGAGTTATTGAATGGTCCAAGACGTTAGGTTCGTTAGGTTTAGGGTTGAAGCCAGTCCAGACTAGAATCCAGATCGAAGTTAGGCCAACTTTGAAAAGAGCTGTAATCCGATCTGTAGCCAGGCACAAACCAACTTTGACCCAGTCAGGGCTCAAGTTTGAAGCCTGTTTGAAGCCTGTTTGAAGCCTGTTTGAAGCCTGTCTGAAGCCTGTTTGAAGCCTTGATGTCTGAAGCCTTTAAATTAGATCAACTTCTCAAATATGAATCTAACTGAACATTAGGAGCTCAGGAGCTAAAATCTTTGATTCTACGTCCAGCTCAAGATAGATTCCAGGCTCAATTTCTTGAAAAGGAGCTGAATTCTCTGAACAATGTTGATCTAATGCTTATGATTAGCTTATTCTCAGTTCTGGTTTCTTATTGGCATTGTCAGTTCTGGTTCTGGTTCTGGTTCTGGTTCTGGTTCTGGTTCTGGTTCTGGTTCTGGTTCTGGTTCTGGTTCTGGTTCTGGTTCTGGTTCTGGTTCTGGTTCTGGTTCTGGTTCTGGTTCTGGTTCTGGTTCTGGTTTTGGTTCTGGTTTTGGTTCTGGTTTTGGTTCTGGTTTTGGTCCATTGTCAGTTCTGGTTCATTGTCAGTTCTGTTTCTTATTGGCATGCTAGAAAACATTGAAGAAATCGATCTCCAGACAAGATTAGGGTTGTAAAACAAAAGACAAGCTGATCACATGTCAATCATTTGCAGAAAATGAATTACAATCGAAAATCGATTCCTAAAAATCAAATCCAAATCAAAAATGAAAAAATTCTCTCAATGAACACTTGTCATAAATGAAGAAAATGGCAAATTTATTGCTTTTTGATAGGAAATCTGTGAGGTGGAGAAAGAAATGAAATTTGATCTCAAAAGTCTTAAAAAAACGAAAGAACAATGGAAATTACAGAAAAATATGTGGAATAGATTGAAAAGCTGCAAATTTTTTGGTTTCTTCTCTTACTGTCCATGGAATTGATTGATTTTCAATGATTTGGTGAGTTATTGAGAAAAATTGGACAGAGAAAAAGACACTTTAAATCACTAAGTTTGCCTTTTCATTAGAAGTTTGCCGTTTCATTAGAAAATTTGAGAAGTTGTAGGGAAAGATGTAGTGATGGCTGAAAGGGGAAAAAGTTGGATTGATTTAGAGATTTTGAGTCAAGTTCAGGTCTGGCTTCTGGCGTCAGAGATTCAAGCCTTGTCTTGTTTCCGATTTATTTCGGAAACAAGACAATAACAACATTTTGCAATAACAACAAGACAATAACAACATTCTAATAACAACACTTTGGGTCTAGGTAGGCAAATTCTAAGGCCAGTTTCTTGGAGAAAACTAAAGCAAGTCTTGGATTTGAGTTGAGAATATGAAAGACCGGTGTCAGGGCAGGATTGTTTCGATACTAGGTAATAAAAAGGTAATAAATAACCAGACTAGGTAATAATAAATTGAAATTGGTGGATTTCCGGAGAAGGGATTGAACTTTGAAGCTTTTCAGACAATTGCTCTAACCACTAAGCTATTCAATACTTTAAATTGTCAAGAAAAAGATAGAAAGACAAGGGGGAAGTAGAAAGAAGGAAGGAAGAAAGAAAGAAAGAGAAGAAAGAAAGAAAGAAAGGAAGAAAGAAGAAGAAAGAAAGAAAGAAGAAGAAAGAAGAAGAAAGAAGAAGAAAGAAGAAGAAAGAAAGAAAGGAAGAAGAAGAAAGAATAGATTAGAGTTGGGAATACGAAAGACCGTTGTTAGGGCAGGATTGTTTTAATGCAAGTTTAGGTTAGGCCTAGCTCAAGGGTCTGTGAGTCAAACCCTGCCAGGCCAGGATTCGTGGGTCAAACCTACCAGGCCAGGATTCATGGGTCAAACCTATCAGGCCAGGATTCGTGGGTCAAACCAAAGGCCAGGATTCGTTTTTGTTAACTGACAAGTTAACAGTAAAGCCGGGTTAGACCAGGGATCTTCTAAATCCCAAAGGCTCTTCTAAATCCCATCAAAGTTCCTACTCTGAGCTTAAAGGCTAAAAATACCTCATAAATAAGGTAAAATGACCGATCTCTAGCTCGCTTATTGTCCAGGGGACAAGAGTCATGCGGAGAAAAACTCGTGGGGGGTGAGTGTGGAGCAATGAATCAATGAATGTGAAGACAACTGTTCATAAGTTATCGGCGGGTACTTAGTTTGAACTTAGAACTTTAAAAAAACAATAAATATAATACCAACATTAAATTTTAAAGTAGATTTAAAGTTGAATCATCTTTAAATGTAAGTTTTTTAGAACAGAATCATTTTTTTTTTTGCTTAAATGCTTAGCTCTAATGGAACAGCTGACTTTTGTAACAAAAAACAATGGAATAGACTCTAAAAAGCAGAAAAATCATTCAAAATCCTCAAATCTTAACAAAAAGATTCCGAAAATTGGGGAAATTTTTGAATTTGGAAAAAAATGGATATGAAATTATGCCAGAATGATGTTTATTTTAAGGAAAAGACAAGAGAATTCTCTAGAAATTAATTGGTGGATTTGTACGCAACTTTTCAACGAATCTTTCTATCACTTTCAGCATTTGTAGAAACCAAAACATTTCTGCTCAACGTTTCAGTACGCCAGAAATTGTGTGTTTAAGAATTCTTAAGCTTTAAACAAGTATCTGAATCAGATTGAGATTGAGATTGAGAATCAAATTGCTTATACAATTACCATTTGTAATTTAGTGTCTTCAAGTGTGTAGGGAACCAAATTTAGAGAGATGATTTAAACAAGACAAGACAAGACAAGACAAGACAAGGCAAAACAAGGCAAAACAAGGCAAAACAAGGCAAAACAAGGTAATACAAGACGTCAGAATGATGTTTAATTGAGGAAAAGACAAGAGAATTAGCTAGAAATTAATCCAGAAATTTGTACGCAACTTTTCAACGAATCTTTTCATCACTTTCAGCATAACTTCGGGAAAAGGATTGGCTCTAAGGACTGGCCTGGTCGGGCCGTGGCATGAAGTGGGTACGGCTTGATCGGGGCTGGGTGACGCTTTTGTGGAGCTTGGCCTCGTGTCGGGACTGTCCCGTGGACTGCCGCGGCTGCGTGCATGGTCTTCGGGCTGTGTGCTTCGGCCGGCGTGAAACAGTCGACTTAGAACTGGTACGGACACGGGGAATCCGACTGTCTAATTAAAACAGAGGAGACAGATGGTCTTTGCGGACGTTGACTGTCTCTGATTTCTGCCCAGTGCTCTGAATGTTAACGTGAAGAAATTCACGTAAGCGCGGGTAAACGGCTGAAAGTGAAACTGTGCTGTATGCTGAAATGCTGAAAGTGTTTTTAGTGATGGAAAGAGCAAGCAATTTGTAGAAACCAAAACATTTCTGCTAAAGTTTGATTGAAGGAATTTCTTTCTAGATGAAATATTGTGTGTTAAAAAGTATCAAAAATGATAGATCAAAAATGACAGATCGTCAGAGAGAGGCCTCTTTCCAGAGCTTGTAAAATGAGTTGTATATCTCCAATTGTGAAACTTTTAATGGGAAAATGTAGCCAAGATTAAGGGCTTTATTTTTCCTATATAACACTTGGCACTTTAGTGATCGGTCAGACGTTTGCCAGCTGTGGTTGTGGCCAGCTCAAAAGGTGTCGCCATAATTTGTGATCACCTTGTATTTGCATGGAGATATTTTCAACATCAGCATGCCTACCAGTGCCCAAAAACTTTGCTAGTACTTCTTTGTCTTTGTCAGCATGCCTATCAGTGAAACTAGAACTGAATAGTGCTTGTATTGGAATAGCCTTGGATACCCAAGGCTATTCCAGTTCTAATTAGTTCCAGCACTATTCAGTTCTAATTTCACTACTTTTTCATAATAAACAGTACTATGCAGATCAGATTATCAAAAAGAATAATAGCAAAATGTTTTGTCGAACTTTTGAACTGTCAAACTTTTAAGCTGTTAAACTCTCAAACTATCAAACTATCAAGCTATCAACCTATCAACCTATCAACCCATCAAACTTTAAAACTATCAAACTCTCAAACTCTCAAACTCTCAAACTATCAAACTATCAAACTATCAAACTATCAAACTATCAAACTCCCAAACTATCAAACTATCAAACTATCAAACTATCAACCTATCAACCTATCAACCTATCAAACTATCAAACTCTCAAACTATCAACCTATCAACCTATCAACCCATCAAACTTTAAAACTATCAAACTCTCAAACTATCAAACTCCCAAACTATCAAACTCTCAAACTCTCAAACTCTCAAACTCTCAAACTATCAAACTATCAAACTATCAAACTATCAAACTATCAAACTATCAACCTATCAACCTATCAACCTATCAAACTATCAAACTCTCAAACTATCAACCTATCAACCTATCAACCCATCAAACTTTAAAACTATCAAACTCCCAAACTCTCAAACTCTCAAACTATCAAACTATCAAACTATCAACCTATCAACCTATCAACCTATCAAACTATCAAACTCTCAAACTGTTTTGTCAAACTTTCATAGCCCAGGGACTATTGTTTAGGGTCAATAAATCAAATCAGATATCCTATTCCTTTAGCTTTAGAAAGAAAAAGATTCCTTTAGAAAGATCCAAGATTGTAAGATCTTAAACGAGTTTTTCTAAGCTATCAAAACTAATTGCAACATCTGGTCGGCTACTTGAAAAACCGGTCATAAACTTTTACAGATCCAGAACACAAATTAAAGGGATCTGTTTACAAAAAAAGAACATTGGAATCAAATTTTCCCCAAAGCAGAACACTGAAATCATTTTTGAAGGGAAAAAAAGAAAAAAAAAAGTCACGTTGTCCTTTTTTTTTTTTTTTGCTTTCCGTGGGAAAGTCTGATTGGATAGGGGAATGGAAAGGACAAAGGGGAATCGAAAAAAGATGAGAGGCAAAGATGTGCTCTAAATTTTAGAATTGATTGTGCTCCAGATTTTGGAATTTATTGTGCTCCAAATTTTAGAATTGATTCAATTCCAATTTTGTGCTTTCGCAAGTGCTTTAAATGTGCATTGGCAAGTCTGAAAACGAGCGGGAAACGAGTCTACGAGTCTATGAGTCATCCAAACTCGCCTTAGTCCTCCAAACCTGCTCGGAGACGGCGCATAGTCGAGCCCGGCAGAAAGTTGGGCTTCTTTTTGGTTTAAAAAGGTTATATCTATTATATTATCTATTATAACTTATTATAACTATTATTATATTATATCTATTATATTATAAAAAGGTTATATCTATTATATTATCTATTATAACTTTTGGTAAAAAAATGGGATATCTGACCCGTGGCGGAGTCGAACCCTTGAGCCATCGCACTCGGTGCAAGAGCGCTAACCACTTGGCCATTCGACGTCTAGATCTCCCAGCCCATTACCGGCTTATTTCAGCCCTTTCCCGAAAAGCATATCCACGACAGACTTTCGAAACTATAAATGGACTTAACCCCCTCTGGAGTAACGGCAAGCAGGTGCCTTGTGGTCTAGTGGTTAGCACAGTTACCCAGTAAGCGAAAGGTCGTGGGTTCGAGTCCCGGCGGTGCAAATTGGTTTTTGATCTGCTGTATTTTTGATTTTTTAATCAACTATGGGTTAGATTCCTCAAGTTTTCAGTGAATTTTTGTATCAAACAATTGTTAAAGAATATCTTAAATCTAAACCAGGTTAGATTCCTTAAACTTCCAGTAAATTTCTGTATTAAACAATTGAACTAATACGTTAAAGAATATCTTAAATCTAAGCCAGGTTAGATTCCTCAGGTTTCCAGTAAGTTTTTGAATCACAATTGAGCTAATCGTTAAAGAATAGCTTAATATAGATCTAAAACAACCATTTTACAACAAATATTACTAGTTTAAAGATAAAGTTATTTGGGTTTTAACATCAGAATAAAGATAGATTAGATAAGAAAGTCGATAAAGTCGATAGTCGATAGTTTAAGCAATATTATAATTCTAAAATAGTTAGATTCTAAAGCTAAGCATTGTCTATTTACTAAAGATTCTCAGTAAAGTATTGGGTTGATGCATAATTATCCGGACTTCTTTTTTGCGCGCTTGTATCTTTTTTGTTTTGAAAGCTTTTTGTCTATTTCTTTTTTTTAAATATTCGTTATTCTTTAGTGAACAAAATGCGTGTCGACAATCATATCCATCTTCGCCATATCATGCTCTACCACTTCGAAAAGGGATGGTCTGCCGCAGAGTCGTTTCGCGATCTCAAAGAACTTTTTGGTCAAGGAACAATTGGACGTGCAACAGTTTATGAATGGTTCGATCGTTTCAAGTCCGGTAACACAAGTGTTGATGATGAACCAGGAAGAGGACGGCCATCAGAATTCGATGACAAGGCACTTCTGGAAGCCGTTGAAGAAGACGAAAGCCTGACAAGCCTGATGAACGTGAGCAATGGCGAATTCCAGACAAAAATGGCAAGAAGCAATTGAACATCAATAGTGACGTCTACTTGGCACAACTTGAACGCTTACATGCTGCAATTCAGGCACGAAGACCGCGCAAAAAGAACAACATCGTCTTTCACCACGATAACGCACGTCCGCACGTTGAGCGCCATGTCGTCGAATCCATCGCTAGTAAGGGCTGGGATCTTCTTCCACACCCGCCATATTCTCCTACTGAAGCCCCAACGGACTACCACGTCAATCGATCGCTCAAAAATTGGCAAACAAATAAGATCTACAACGATTTGGATGACTTGATAGACGATGTTAAAGCGTGGATTGCCTCCAAAGATCGTTTATTCTTCGCTCGTGGAATCGATCGTCTTCCAAGCAAATGGCAATCAGTTATTGATGTAGGCGGTGAATATGCTCCAGAATAATCAATTAAACATATTTTTCTAACTATTTATGTTATTTTTTGTTAAATAAAATCATTTATAAAAGAAGTCCGGATAATTATGCATCAACCCAATAGTAAAGTCAATTAATTTAACAAAAATCGACTATACTTTAGCTTTTAAAGCTAGAAAATGCAAGATTTTGGCTTTATTTTGACTTTTTTTAAACTTTAAAAGCAAATAATGAAATCAAGCTATAGAAAGCTATAGAATAAACTCAATAGAATAAAAAAGTTGGCAACCAAATCAAAAGCCAAACCAAATCAACGCTGGGACTGTTGAATCAGCCATTCTCAATAGATGAGTGTGTCTAAATGGGGAAATGGAAAGAAAGGAGCCCAATATATGAGTCTTTTTCGTGTTCAACTTTGCCAACTCTTTCTCGTTTCTCTAAATCTTTTGCCTGTCTCAATTCTATGCGATATTTCTTCACATCCAGCAGCTGGCGGCAATGAAAAGGGAGAAGTCCTCATTGGGGTGGCCCTGGAGCCTCTACTTGCCTCTCTTCCCTCTTCTTCCCCTTTCTCATCTCTTTCTCTTTTATCTCTTCTTCATTCTTCTTTTCTTCCCTCTTTACTCATTCAAATCATTTGTGGGATTTTTGATCTTTGTCGTAATCCTTAGCTATTACAGTTATCAAAGTATTATCAAATCCTTCATTTTTCTAACACCAAGCTGATTTTGATCTACTAATCTAATCCACTAGAAGATCTTGCAGAATATAGAACGTAGAATGACCGACATGGCTTGTTGAACCGAAGGAAGCAGAAAAATTTACACAATAGAAAAGAGGAAAATAGTACTGATATTAAGCGAATCTCCAACAGCGTTTTGAAAAGCTCAGGCATTTGAGGCATTTGAGGCATTTGAGGCCAAATATCAAAGCATCACTGAGACTCGAAATCGAGCATCTATTGAAAAGCCATCACTGAGGCATTTGAGGCCAACTATGAGGCCAAATATCAAAGCATTTGAGGCTAACTATGAGGCCAAATATCAAAGCATTTGAGGCCAACTATGAGGCCAAATATCAAAGCATTTGAGGCCAACTATGAGGCCAAATATCAAAGCATCACTGAGACTCGAAATCGAGCATCTATTGAAAAGCCATCACTGAGGCATTTGAGGCCAACTATGAGGCCAAATATCAAAGCATTTGAGGCTAACTATGAGGCCAAATATCAAAGCATTTGAGGCTAACTATGAGGCCAAATATCAAAGCATTTGAGGCCAACTATGAGGCCAAAGATCAAAGCATTTGAGGCCAACTATGAGGCCAAATATCAAAGCATTTGAGGCCAACTATGAGGCCAAAGATCAAACCATCACTGAGACTCGAAATCGAGCATCTATTGGATTCATTGGATCATTGATCTTGCGTGTTCGACTCAACGTGTTCAACTCAAAGATAGGGCTTCGTAATAATGACTAATCGAGAAAATCCGATCCATGAGGAACGATACGAGAAACGATCGAAATCGGCGACCGAAAGCCTTCTTTGAAACACCTTGAAGCCTTGAAATTTGATAAACGAATTATATCTTGAATCCTTTGGATTCATTGGATCATTGATCGTGTTCAACTCAAAGATAGCGCTTCAAAATAATGACTAATCGAGAAAATCCGATTTGAGAGACATTACAGAGACAGCTTTAATATCAAATGCCTAGGCTTATTTACAATTTTTAAGGCTAGATTTAATACTACATTAATGCTAAATACTCTAATAGAACGCCAGCCCCATAATAACGAGCGTACAGCCGCGTAGTCTAACTTTAAACGTCCCGTTCTCCGCGAACTAAATTTTAGGGTTTAATTCAATGTAAATAATAGAAATGGGAAAAGAAAAAGTGATTTAAAAAAAAAGAAACGGAAAATAATGATAGTATATAACAAAAAAAATGAATAATGATGATAAAATTGCGACCTGAAAAGCTTGTCATTTACTACTACCACTCTGTGCTTTGAACCCTTTCCCCTCAACAAATCTCAACCGATGTACACATCTCATCCTTTTCCCCATCTCTTCCCAGCTTTCCTTCAGTCCTTCTCCCTTCACTCAAGTGTCCTTCTCACTCCAATAAATAGAAGAATTCTCTTTGATCTCTCTTTTCTTTTACTCAAATCCGATGAATGCCTAAGTGAGTAGACATGTTGAATGAAAGGGAAAAGCTGGGTAAATCTATGAGATCATCTTTCATTCAAAAGTTTCAATAGATAGTATTTGTACAATAGATTTGAGGGGTTAAAGCCTAGACTAGCCTAGACTTGCTTAAAGCCTAGACTAGCCTAGACTTGCTTAAAGCCTAGACTAGTCTAGACTTGCTTAAAGCCTAGACTAGTCTAGACTTGCTTAAAGCCTAGACTCGCTTAAAGCCTAGACTAGCCTAGACTTGCTTAAAGCCTAGATTAGCCTAGACTTGCTTAAAGCCTAGATTAGCCTAGACTTGCTTAAAGCCTAGACTAGCCTAGACTCGCTTAAAGCCTAGACTAGCCTAGACTCGCTTAAAGCCTAGACTAGCCTAGACTTGCTTAAAGCCTAGACTAGTCTAGACTTGCTTAAAGCCTAGACCTTCCAACAAGATAGGACTTTCAGAAATTCGTGAGCCAACTTTTTCCAAGAAAATACAGAACTTGGGTAATTTGTGAGTCAATTCTAGCTTTTCTAAACTCCTCACAAGCAGCTCAGTGGTCTAAACTGCTCACAAGCAACTCAGTGATCTAAACAAGCTATGACCTTACTAGACATAGAAAATTCCAGCCAAGCCTAATTCCATCTTCGTTTTCTCGACCGCTTCTTGGCCGATTCCCGTTTCTTGGCCGCTGAAATTTTGTCTATAAGCTGAAAATATCTATCTGTAGACAAAATTTCAGAGCAATTGGCGAAGAAAACGAAGGTGGAATTAGGCTCGAGTTGGAATTTTCTATTTCTGGAAGAGAAAAAAACCGTAGAATGGACTAGTCCTTTTGTACTTTACTTTACTAGTACTTTTGGACTAGTCCAAGTCAACACAGAAGGCTTATGGATGAGCTAAATACAGTAGGAAAAGTATTCAGTTCCAGTTATTGAACTCTAATTGTAAACTAGACTTAGACCAAGGTAATAGCATTGTTGCTTTTAATAGCATTGTTGAAGGTTAAGTTAATCTAAAGTGTAGGAATCAAGCTTAATCTAATAGTAGAGCACCGGGCCGAGTTGGTGACGATTTTACAGCTTCCAAAGCTTTCCCAGAAGCTCAACACTCTAATCCCCCACTAGATCTCATCGTTAGCTACATTTTCCGACCCCACATCGATAGGTTCTGATAAGCGGTTCTCGAGATTTCGAGGAATTTAGACGACGCTCAGGGTGCACTAATATTAGAGAAAAAACGGTAACAGTAAGGCAGGCAAAGTTCGGCTTTTGGCTCCTGGCTCCTGGCCAATCAAGCACCTGGCTGAGCCGAGTTAATGGCTATTTTACGGCTTCCAAAGCTTTCCCAGAAGCTCAACACTCTAATCCTCCACTAGATCTCATCGTTAGCTACATTTTCCGACCCCACATCGATAGGTTCTGATAAGCGGTTCTCGAGATTTCGAGGAATTTAGGCAGTGTGCTATTAGAGAGAATACGGTAGTTGTTACGGTAAACAGAGCGCCATTTAGAAAAACGTTCATTAACAATTTGATAAAGACTCTGAATCAGAGAGAAAATGTGGATTTGTGAATATTAGAGATCTGTTACTCTGGCAATCTACGAGTACGAACTACGAACTGCCAAAGTACGAATTGCCAGAGTACGAACTGCCAGAGTACGAACTGCCAGAGTACGAACTCTGGCAATTCCCCTACGAACACAATCGACAGATTGTGAGAAGAATCTCCGAAAACAAGATCCTACAGTAAATAGAAAAAGAGATCATCGTGTTCAAAAGTCGGAGGAATAAGTGCGACAAAAACGAAATGTTTTCTTGAAAAGAAATTTGAGAGGGTTAAAAAGAGCTGAGTCTCTGGGAAAATGAAGAACAGACAAAACAGGGGAAGATTTTAAAAAGAGATTGCAACGACATTGAATTTTCGGGGACATTAAATCATTTTTTAGAGATACATTTGTTCATACGAGTATTGTGGTACAAGAAATACACAAGACAATCCCTGCCGTAAATACTGTAATAGTACCCCATCCCCATAATGACAGTGCGGAGTGTTGCGTAGCTCTAGCTTTGAACGCGTTTTTCTCGACACTAGTTTATGCTACAATGCTCGTTTTGGTATCAAAAAATAGCCCTGAATTTCAGCTATTTTTTGATACCTATTGTAGCATTGTAGCATAAACCAGTGTCGAGAAAAACTCGTTCAAAGCTAGACTACCGTAAATACTGTAATAGTACCATACCATAATGATGGTGCGGAGTGTTGCGTAGCTCTAGCTTTGAACGAGTTTTTCTCGACACTAGTTTATGCTACAATGCGCGCTTAGATAGCCCTGAATTTAGCCCTGAATTTCAGCTATTTTTTGATACCAAAAACGAATTTTTTGAAAGTACGGGTGCTTTGAAATAGTAAAAAACTTTTGCGACTACGCGACTGTACGGGGGTGGTGGGGTACTATTACAGTATTTACGGTAGGTTAAGTTAAGTTATAAAGCTAATCTAAAGCCAGGACAGGTAAGGAGCTTGATCAAGCCCTTGTCTTGATCATTGGTCATCTTCTGGCTATCTTCTGGTTACGATTACGGTATGGTGGCTGGTTACAGTAGCAGTCACGATACAATAGCTGGCTAGAGCAGCAGTTGGCGCCTCTCTTACCTCTCTCATCTCTTACCTAGTACGGCAACTGGATCCTCTAAGATAATGCCGCCATGGCCGACTGGCTAAGAGCCTTGTATCTTACTCGAAAGCCCAATGGTTCAATCCCGTGCACAAAAAATGCCCAAGAACGATCCATAAGCCTTATCTATAGAAAGAAAAAAAGTAAGTAAGAAGAAAAAAAGTGACAA